AAATTCCACCCACTTGATTTTTCCATGTTTTCATCTAAAAATACTTCTATAAAGTTGTATTTGTAGATAATACTTAGTATTTATGGAATTTTATAATCTTTTTTACCTTTAATAATCAAAATGTGATTGGGTAAGAATGATTAGAGAAAAAAAAAATTGAAAACCAACCATAATTATTCTAAAAGAAATTAATTACATCATCGTTTAGTAGAGCATGTTTCCTCCTCTTGCCTTCACTACTTCTTGAAGACGCCTCGGCATACTTTCCACCAGTCGGGAAATGTCCCTTTGCTGGAGGATAGCCCATTCCTCCTGAAGAGCCCTTTCAAGGTCCTGCAGTGTATCAAGAAGAAGAATAATAAATAGGAAAGAATAATAGGCCCGTAATTTGAGGATCGAAACGGGAAATCCATTGCGAAAATTGTGAGAAAAGTTTTTATTTTTTTAACTTGTATATATGAGTTTAGACATTTAAGAAACAAAATTGCTTACGCGGGCCACCAAGGAAAAACTTTTTACAGCCAAAAAAGTCAGATTTTTTCGATATTTTTTGGATTTTTCACCTATAACTTCTAAACAATGCATCAAAGCGAAAAATGTATTCTTTAATAAATTAAAGGACGTAAAATTTTGCGCCAAACGAGTACATAAGCCTTATAATTTGGTTACGCGGTAAGGTATAAAAACACGGTCAACCAACGCTGAACTTTACCAAATTTGTCAAAAACTGAGACAAATTACTATAGATGGCCCTGTAACTTGGAAATGAGTTCCCTAAGGGGAAAAACCCATAGAATCAAAGTTGTAGAACATCAAATTTTGCGTCCACTGAGTACTGACATTTTTATTTTAGGCCAATTATATATCTTGAATCGGGATTCGTTAGTCCTTTATAAAATTCGGAATCTTTCAGCACATCGTTTACCAAAATCCTTTGCTGTTGAGAGGTGGAAAATAAAAATGTCAGTACTGAATGGACACAAAATTTGATGCTCTACAACTTTGATTCTATGGGTTCTTCCACTTAGGGAACTCATTTCCAAGTTACAGGACCATTTATAGTAATTTTTCTCAGTTTTTGACAAATTTGGTAAAACTCAGCTTTGGTTGACCGTGGTTTTATATCTTACGGCGTAACCAAATTTTAATGTTTCTGTAATCGTTTGACGCAAAATTTAACATTCTTTAATTTGTTAAAGAATACATTTTTCGTTTTGATGCATTGTTTAGGAGTTAAAGGTGAAAAACCCAACAAATATTGAAAAAATCTTACTTTTTTGGCTGTAAAAAGTTTTAACTTGGTGGCCCGCGTTAGCAATTTTGTTTTTTACATGTCTAAACCCATATATACAAGTTAAAAAAATAAAAACTTTTCTCACATTTTTCGTAATGGATTTCCCGTTTCGATCCTCAAATTATTGGCCTAATATATTTAAAATCAGCCGCCATTTTTGAAAGCAGCGGCTCTGGAACGGCAGACAAGGTTTTTTTTACTCAGAATAACATACACTTTCATAATTTACAATTAAACCTTCGCCTGCGATCATGTCGATTTTTGGGCCCTGGCTCCAGGGCTATCTGTGAGTTCTGGTCAACTCTGGTCCTCTTACTGGACGAAAAGCCATTAAGCCATACTCATTTAATCTTCTCCGAGCGGTAAGTTCAGAAATTTGCACACCTCGAACTTCTTCGAGCTGATGAATCGCTTGAACAACGGTAAGTTGCCGGTTTCGTAAAATTATCAAAGTCAAAAACCGGTCATCCCGTGGTTCTGTTACCCTAGGCCTTCTATTGTAAGAGCCAGTTTCCCGAAAACGCCTGACGGCGTCTCGTCAAGTTTCATATGGAACTCCGATGGCATTAGCCGCATATCTAATGGAACGTCCATCATCAATAAGTGCCACACCACGCGCAACATCCTCAGCACTAAGAAGCATTTTTAAACTTAATATTGAAAAAATTAAAAGCTGGAGACTAAGAAATGTGCTGCAAGAAACGGCACTGAACTAAAGATACTGAATAAACATTTTGATTCCATAGCATAGAAAGTAAACATTGGAATCTAGAATCATTTCATTGAATTAAGGAGTAAGGGTTATTGTCCTCTATATTAACATTCCTAATTGAAAACAGACAAAAAGATTACCTAGACCAATCCAAAGCAGAAATATTGTTAGATGAAAACATGAAAAAATCAAGTTGGTGGATTTTTTTTGCCTGTCAGTGTATAATAAAGAACGTTGTAGAAGGTAAGGGAGAGTGACGAAAAAAAATATAAATAATAATTTCTAAAAACTATCATTATTTAACGTAGATCAGGTGTTTCCAAGGACCCACGGATTCAAGCCAATGACATTGTTTAAGATTCTATTTCCTTGTATTTGTGTGAAAGAAGAAGTGAAAATTATTGAGTGAGTAGTGAAAATATAAAAATTATTTCATGGATTCGTTTATAACCTTAAATATATTTACATAACCATCCGAATCCTCTTGTTTCTAACCTTGCTTCCTCTTCGATTCCTGATAACCCTCCGAGGCGTCTGAAAAGAAGACGGCCTCGTGATCTTCTCATGCAGACAAATTATTAGAGTGCTACCAGTGGGTAGTTTCTCAACAAGCGTGTTTCATGTAATAATATTTCTCTGTACAAATTTACTAGATGTATTCATACTAATACAGTTGTAAATATCATAATAAAAGTTAAAAAAAAAAATATATATATATTTACAGTAGTTTAATAACTCTAGATCTGATATTATATTTAAATAATTAGGTTTCTGTCGTCCATTTATTCCGAAAAAACATCATATAACCTTTTAGGAAATTAAATTAGTGAATAATTTGATAAAATTTCCCTTTGTGATATTCTAACAGTATCCACTTACAATTAGTGTGACAACTTTTGACCTGTCTATGACAGATAATGCAAATCTCTTAATATCGTTTTGGTAAACTTCACACGCGTTAGCCCGCTCGGCATTTCGGGAGTTATTGGCCAATTCCTTCTTATAATTCTTTCTTGCTGATAACTTATGGCATTATCACCTTAATCTCGTCCGAACTCATTTCATCTATCTACTACACAATCCTAGAAGAATCAATAAACATACAAACATTTTGAATTTGCAAAATATTATTAAATTAAGTTTTATTATTATAAATAAATACGAATTTTGAAACGTACAAGGAGCTTATTGTTAAATAAGGCATTGAGATGTGCTGTTAGAAGCTTAGGTGTACAGGTTGGTGGCATGTTATTTAACAAATCGGCTGAAATCTTTGGCTTCGCGGATGAATTGGATATAATAGGAAGAAACTGGGCATCTTTAAAGAAGGCATTTTTCGCTATATAGGAAGCGACACAAGGAGTGGGTCTAACAATAAATGAGTTAAAAAGCAATATGAGAGCAGCTCCGTCAGCATTAGATCAGCAGATCGCCAATGTGAAAATATGAGACTTCACGTTTGAGTGTGTGAACGAATTTATTTAATTGGGCTCTCAAGTGAACTCCGAGAGTAATATGAATTAAGAAATTAATAGACTGTTAATGGCTGCAAACTGATGCTATTTAGAGCTCCTGAAACATTTCAGAAGTCTCTCTCTCGAGGTTCACCAAGGTGCAGCTTTACAAGATCCTCATAAGGTCTGTTCTGACATATGCTTCCGTATGTTGGACGGTCTCTCGAGCCTAAGAACTAATGTTCCTAAGATTCGAGAGGCGGATCCTTAAAAGAATTCTTGGGCCAGTGTTCAGAAATAACGTTTGGCGACAAAGAACTAATTCTGAAATAGAAAGAATGTATAATAATACAAATGTCGTCAGTTTCATAAGGATTGAAATTCTTCGTTTTGCAGGCCATGTTGCTTGAATGAAGAATGATGAGGTCCCAAAGAAAATTTTGGAAGAAAGGATATACGGCAAGAGAATAATTGAAGGCCGAGACTGCGGTAGGGCGATGGAGTGGCAAAGGATGCATGGTCCATCTTAGGAGTAGGAAACTGGAGGACAGTGGCAACGAACCGAGAAGACAAGCGGCTGGTGTTGCGGGAGGCCTTGACTCACCACTGAGTGTTAGAGCCTAAAGGAGAAGAATGATTTTGGAGGCTCCCCTTGCAGAGGGTCTTTGGCGATCACCGACTAGCCAAACTTGCCTAACTGAGCCTGCCCGTGAGATGTGAGATTTAAGTCCTTCATTGTTGTGTTTCGTATTATCGTTGTTATTTATAGAATTATTGTTAAACGAAGCTCGTCGGAACATTATTAATACTAAAATTATGTTCTAGGAAGTGCTGTAGGAATCCTAAGCATTAAGCAGGAGTTGTATCTCGATGCAAGGGTTTTTCCTGTACGCTCCTTCCCCTTGCAGAAAAAATAACTAATTTTTTCCTTATTCCTTAGTCATAACTTAACCTCGCAACATTTTACATACTTACTCTTAAACTTACTAATCAAATCATAATTAAGCCTAGCAAGGGCGTAGGAAGCTTTCATAATAGTGGGGCGACGGAAAATGTTTGTTCGAAAAAGTTTATCATTATTACAATTAAGTGAGGGGGAGGGGAGGAGAAGAAGTCGTAACATGGGGTCCGTCCCGTTGAACTAGTAAATTAGTAGTATTGTATTGTATTAAATACATACGCATCGAACTAGACTGGGGAGGAGGATGTCTTTACAACTACTTACGCCACTGTTAGCAGCTGCTAATCTATATTCTGTTTTACTTTTGTAAATTTATAGTATATTTTGTTAAGACTACACTGAGGTAAATTTCTTTATCCAAATTATACAACAAATTAACATTCTGTTACGTCGAGGGTAAAACTCATTTCTGTTGAACCTTTTTATCATATATAAAAATAGAACTGTTCCATGAAACATGTTGACTCAATAATAATTTAAAGTGATTCTGCACCGAGTAAAGTATATGATACATAAAGTGTATGGAAATAAAAAAGTGCCTGTGATTTTATTTTCATTATCTTGTCATATGTTACTATCGTTATTATTAACTATTAACTGTTTTAAGTTTCTAAGTATGATTGATTAATTTATGACAGTTTCCTATACTGCCCAAGTAACTTCCTGCCGACAGTTCGGTTGTTTCTGGAAACTATTATTTAGGTATGTATAAGGACCCATTGTTTCTATGAAATGTTCAATAAATAGTTCTTAAATTATAGACTGAAATACAATTTTTCAATGTAATACATAATTAATCTTTTCATATTTAAGGCAATAATACTTCCAATTTTCGTCAAATTCTTTAATTACATTTGGTGTCTAACGTTTCGGAGATTCAAATAAATAAATTGTCCCGAAACGTTAGAGACAACAAATGTAATTAAAAGAATTTGAAGAAAATTGGAAGTATTACTGCATTAAATATGAAAAAAATTATAAACGTAGGCTTCCTAATAAAAAAGAAAAATAAGAAGATAATTAATCTTGTTTGTGCTATCAAAGCGGTTTCATTATAATTAATTCAATGTGGTATTTCTTTCAGATGGAAGGGAAGCATTTATAAACTATTATGGCCAAATCTAATGGTTTATGTTATGCTATATTCAACATTAAGCTTTGGTTATAGATTTTTGCTGAATGAAAAGGAAAGAACGTATGGCACTTCCATTATTGTTATTACTTATTTTTATTTATTATTTTAATGTATCCGCAATATTTGTATAGTAGAATCATTTATCATTTATCTCGAATGATATAATAATAACTTAATATTCCTTATTAAGCGGCATTCTGGATATAGGTCCGTGACGATCCGACGATCTAGTTGTATTGCTATAATAAAATAATAAAGAATACCTTAGCTCACAGGCGGATCTACGGAGAGGAAGGGATGGAGGCTTTCGGGCTGAAGCTCCTTCCCCCAAAATGGTAAAATATAATAATGTTTTATAGAAAAAAATATTAAAAACTATCTCTTAAAGTATTATTGTTCGTGTAATTACATTTAATAGGATTTCAATAATCACTTAAATACCATGTATAGGTATAGGTAATAACTAATGTACGTACTTAGTTTTTTTTTTTTTTTTTTTTAAATAAGTATCGTTATATATATGAAAACAAATGCTTTCTGGCTGAATCGGCTCTCTCCTCCCTCCCCCCCCCAAAAAAAAAAATATTTTTTTCATCATAATTTTAACATTTTTTATTTACAATAATAAGGGATATTATAATGACTAGATAAAAAATTGATGACTGGTAACGTTAAAACTTTTGAATGACTGAAAATTTGTTCACATTATAGAGATAAAGGCATTTCTTTCTGGAACATTTGTGGCTTTTAACTATTAGCCAGAATTTCAGCCAAATAAATTCTGAAGCTGGCCATAATATTTCTTCAGCTCACATTTCTGCCTCACACTCTCTCAATGTTCTGAAGATGTTAACAAATTTTAAGTTGAATATAATCATTATTTAGCTATATTGCTTTAAAAAAGAGAAATTTACCGGAAACCAATAAAAGTCCGAATATCCAATGGTTTTAGGAGTAGAAAAGTGAAAAGGTTCAACTTGCATTCATACTGATCAGGTTCAACTGATCTGCATGCACTTGAAGCTCTAAGACCCAATGGCAATGAACCAGTATACTATCGAGCTTAACAAGGCATTATGAATAACACACCATGAATAAGGATCGTTAGAAGATGAGTGGAAGAACTGCTTCAAAGCCTTGGATGAAATGGCTAATGCAATTCAAGGACAAGCCCTGAAAGAATGCCGTTCCCCATGGATTGATGACTAATGCGCAAATGCAACTCATCGAATGAAAGTAGCATATCATGCTAGGACGCAGAGAGGGACTAGAGGTAGAGGTATTGTCGAGGAGTATAGGAGGCTTCGTCGAGAGGAGAAGAGACTATATCGTAGAAAGAAGAGGCTGAAGGAGCGTGAAGAGTTGCAGAAAATAGAAGTTGATTTGTGTAAAAGGTATTATACCCGATTGTTGCTTTGCGGCGAATAGTGAAAACAGATCTATAGGATCTAAAAGATTAAATGTAATCCGCGCCAGCTACCAACCGCACTCAACCATTCCTAGAATAGAGAAGTGAATCTTCACAGCCGATTCAGGAGTATGAGTTGGTTATCTTGCCAGTTAGATTGTAATATTCTCCCTTTATTGCTTAGTGAGTCATTGTGCAGTTATTTCGAGAAGGCCATAATTTTCCTATAGTTGTCCAGTGTAATCACTGGTGCTCGCAATTGTGATGAGGCTCTGGAACTGTATTTGATGGCCTTATTTTGAGCAGGTGGGTTTGAATTCAGAAAGTTCTCCAGCAATTCCGAAAAAATACTTTCTGTTATACCCAAGAGTAGTCAAGAAGTTCCGTTGTGCCACGATGGAGATTCCTCGACTGTCAAGGTTTTGGATTTTTTTTTTTTTTATCTTAAACTCGATCATTTCAGGTATCCAATACAAGAAAGTAAGCCTATTTTTACAAATCGAGGTATTCTATTCTTCATTGCCAAAATTTTCGACATAAATGGATATATATATCAGTGAAGTGGCTGAGGGAGAAGCGTAGGGATCTCCTAAGCCTCCCTTTTCCCTCCACATGTGGAGGGGACAGGATTGGTTCGGAGATCACCTGGCAAATTGTAAATAATGTATGTTTTATATAAGGTGTTTGTTTTACTTTTATTTCTATTTTTATTTACTTATGTGTATATACATATTTTTTTTTCTTTACTCTTTTGTTCTTTCTTCTTATTCTTTTGTTATTACTTTATTTATTTATATTTTTGTATATACGGTATGAATGCAATCTCTGAACTCTATTATAAGTGTCCTTAACTGTGACAAATTGTAATATTTCTGAATAAAGTGTTTTAATAATAAATGGATATACCAGTCCGATAATCTTTTCTAACGTCCTGTAACGTTTGTGGTTTCTTAAGGTTGATTGGAATGATGAGTTGCCTTCTAGTGTGTCTTCATTGTGGAAGGTTTTCTTGAAGCATTTCCGAGCTTGAAAAATGTTTGCCTGTCTAGTTGTATTGTCAGCCATGAACGCATCATCCATGCAGCTAGTCGGCTTTTCAGATGCTTCCGAGAAAGGTTACGGATGTGTGATCCATCTGAGAGTTGGGTGCCCAGGAGAAGCTACCAAAATTCATTTGTTAAGTGCATAAAGTAAGGTGACCCTATTTAAGGTTCAATCAATGGCTCGTTTAGAATCGAACGCTGCCTCCAGACTACTTGGGTGTATTGGTAAACATTAAAATCGTTTGTGAATTAATGAAGTATACTGTTATGATTTTTGGAAGAGATGGTATAATGAGTACCTCCGCAACCTGCTGCCTCGCAATTAGAGCTGTACTGACAGAAAATTTAAAAGAGAGAACCCTTGTTAATCTACATGAAAAAGATGTTATACTGCAGGAGTGGCGCCTTGTCAGGATAATAGAGACACTTCCAGGGCCTGACGGTCTACTCAGGGTGGTAAAATTAAGGACTGCTACAGCCACTTTGGTGCGACCGGTGCACAAGTTAGTGCCTCTCCCTTCTGGTGAAACCTTTTATTGATATGTATATATTCTTTTCTTTGCTTAAATTTAATGAGGAGCCATTTTATTTCAAATGAATTGTAATTTATTAGCCTTTCTTTGATCTAGCTAACTTTTATTTCTAATTTTCCAAAAATATATAATATATAATTTCTCTCTTTCTTTTAGTAAACCAAGCAATTTTCCTCTCATTTGTGCCTTGCCTAGTAATTACCAATCTATGAGGGTTTTTTTTTTTTTTTTTTTTTTTTTTGTGAAATGAGATACTTTACGGTGGAGGATATGTTTTGTGTTCAAGCTATTATACCCGATTGTCGCACTGCGACCAATAGTGAAAACAGATCAGATAAGACCTAAAAGAAACAATTTAATCCGCGCCAGCTACCAACCACACTCAACCATTCCTAGGCAGAGATTCCCATAGACAACAACTGAAGGGCCCTCTCAGTTAAGTAAGGTGTCTATGTCAGCAAGAACGGGTGAGTCTATTTTACACAATTCATATAACCTATCACTTCATCAAAATCCGCCGCCAGAATAAGTCGAATGTTGCCTATGTTGAACTCTTTAGAGTTATTTGTCTTTACTTTAATTAAATTTTGAAAGTTGCCTTAACAGAAGTCTTGCATGAAAACAAAGAATTAAGAGAGTTTTTCCGCAGGATTATAAATAAGCTCAGAAAACCTTTAATTTGTACCCAGACCTCATGCCTGGTTAAAAAATGCAATCTTCTTACTGATTAGTCGGAAGTTTTAGCAGAATGAGGGAGAAACTTTGTCGACCTCCTGACTGACCCAAATATCAATCCTGAAGCCGTTAGAGCCCTGCCTGTTGTAAGAGATATGGAATCCAAATATGAACCGTCCAGTGAGAAGGAGATAGAGGAACTTGTGGAAAGGGTGAAGAACAACAAAGCTCCAGGGTGCGATGCACTCCCTGCCGAACTCTAACAATATGGAGGGAACGAACTAGTGAATGAATTTAAAACCTGAGGAGTCAAATGGTGAGGAGTCAAATATAAATACTCGACATTTTGCAAGGTAGACACCTTTTTTGTGCTAAATTTACTGCTCTGCCTTGTACCTAGGCTTGTATCAGATTTTATTACTTAGAAGTGAAATCCAAGTTTAATCATTTACGTACAGTAATATTTGTTGATAGAAAAAATTAAAGCATCCATTTAGAAACGATTATCATCAGTAATTTAAGTAAAAGCAAGTTGTAGACTATAGGAACAGAACCTTTGCGTCGCTCAAAACATCTATATCAGTAGAGAATTTATTACTCTGAATGTATATACTACAAGTTCCTAAAAGTATCACGCCATTAACAATTTTGTACGAGTATATTTAAAATTCTTTATAAAATGATATTTTTTCCAGAATATTCGAGAAGTTTTCACTCCACTGCCAAACTTACAGTGATCTGATACCAGTTTCATTTGTCTTGGGGTTTTACGTTTCTATCGTCATAAAGCGTTGGTGGGACCAATACTTGACGATACCCTGGCCAGACCCTCTTGCAGTTTTCGTCTCGGCATTTCTCAAAGGACAGGTAACTAACTACATTGCATACAATATGCTACTTCTTTAAGTTCCTTTGAAAACTTTTAACAAAACTATTATTCCCTATGAGATTTTATATTTGTACTTGTGCTTAGTGAGGTATATGAAGTCAAAGTAAATATAAATACAAAGGTATAAAATAATTTGATTAGGATATTTTTGCATAACCTTACTGAAATAAAAAAGCATTGTTGTTCATTAATATGCTTGGTTTTCCCAGTCTGCTGGTGTTCCTCAAGGTAGTATCCTAGGTCCTATCCTCTATACAGTTTATACAGCTGACATCCCTACCTATCCCAACACTGTCATCACCACATATGCCGATGACACATGTATCCTATCAGTAAATAATGACCCAGCAATTGCATCCCAAATGTTTCAATCACACATCATAAATCTAGAAGAATGGTGTCAAAACTGGAGAATTAAAATAAACTCCAATAAATCCCACCAAATTACCTTTACCCTTCGTCGTAAACCAACAACTTCCTGTCCTACAGTTTCCTTTAACAATACTCCACTTATCCCTATTGAGCAAATCCGATACCTAGGACTCCACCTGGACAAACGACTAACTTGGAATCCTCATACTAGACTGAAACGACAAGAAACCGCTCGACGTTTCCGATTACTTCAGCACTTACTAGACAAGCGTTCTAATCTTTTCTCTTATACTTGACTATGATCAGGCCTATTTGGACTTACGGAGTTGAGCTATGGGGCTCCACTAAACCATCGAATTCCTCTCGTATCCAATCCTTACAATCCAAAATCCTTCGTAAAATCCTCAATGCTCCCTACTTTGTTACAAATAAAACCATCCATAATGACCTTAATGTTCCTTTTGTTTCAGATCTGGCCCAATCCAGATACCTATCCTTCCATAATAAACTTCAGAATCATCCCAACCCTCTCGTTTCAAACCTTGCTTCCTCTTCAATTCCTGATAACCCTCCGAGGCGTCTGAAAAGAAGATGGCCCCTTATCTCCTAATGTAAACATATCATTAGAGTGCTACCATTGGGTAGTTATTCAGCAAGTGTTTTTCATGTCATTATATACATTATGTTCTAATTTACTAGATGCATTTATTTAATACAGTTGTAAATGTCTTTAAGAAATAAAAAAAAAACAAAAAAAATATGCTTGGTTAAAACATAATTGTGTCAGAGGATCTAATTTAGGCAATATAAAACATGCTAATTCCAACAAATATGAATCTCTGTCAGTAGGGTGTGAATCCTAACCTACACTAAGGTGGCCACATTTTAACATTGGTAAAGCAGGATACCGGTGACCGGGGGTGGGAGGTAGGTTCTAGATTAAACATTTGGTTCATTAAGTCCAAATTTGTTGTTACAATAATTAATTTTACATGATGCTACTCTGGTGCAAATGTTAATCAGGTGACATAGTATCCAGTATGTTATTTTTGAGAGCGAATAATTTGTCTAATTTAAGATGCAATCAGACAGCTACTTTTTAAAATGATATAAAACTTATGAAAAGTGACATTTCTATTGTGGAAGTGAGATTAATTTGCTGATCTAGATTTAACCTTTTTCTGATCAATATATTTTTAAAATAACGATACCTCGTTAAAAAGATAATTTATAATAACCATCAGTAGTTTTGGCCCCTAAGCCCAAAACAACAAAAATGTAATTTTCGGGCTGTTTATTATCATTTAGTCCAAACAATGGTGGTCAAATTCCAACAACTGATCAACAAAGCGATATTTGCTAAACAGTCTTCGATAATCAGTTCTTAACAATTATTCGTTATTATTAAAGTTAAACGTTACAAAATCAACAAAAATGGAATAAACCTCATATCCTGACGAAATAGCAACCGCCGAAAACCGTATATTCTCTTCCCGTTCTCCTGCCGTTTCTTAGCTTAACATGCATTCTTAAAAAAAATGGCACTTTTTACAAACGCTGCTGGATGCGGGACATATTGTTAAAAATCGGGGCTGTCCCCCCAACAGCGGGACGTTTGGTCTCCCTCTCTACCCTACACCAACACAATGGAAGGGACTACCTCGCACAGCCTCCACTCATCTTCTTAAATGGTATAAAAATCATAAAGACCTCGTTGGATTTATGAAACCGGTTAGTGATTTATAATTGTGCAAATTAACATCTAACAATATACGTAGAAAAAAAAAGAAAGGATTCTTTAAGAGTTGCTTTGAAACTGAAGCTAAAGAACACATCAAATCATTAATGGCTGTGGAAATATTTATTTTAGTTTAACAAATATTTAAATTACATCCATTCCTCACCTCAAAATCCCTTACTTACTTAATCCTCGGCGCTGTAGTCCGCGTTGGACCTTGGCCTTCTCAACAATACGTCGCCAATCGTCTCGGTCCAATGCGACAGCCCTCCACCGCCTGACACCAAGCAGTCTCAAATCCGCCTCAACATCCTCCGGCCAATGAGGTGGTGTTCTTCCTCTCCTTCTTGCTTCTCCACGTTGCCTATATAATATTTTCCTCGACACTCGGTCCGCTGCCATCCTAACCATCTTATGTGTCCTGCCTTAATGCCACTAATGAGGTCTGTGTCCCTGCAGAGTTGTCCCAACTCCCGATTGTATCAAGACCTTCAAACGACTTCTTCGCATACAGGCCGTAAATCCTCCTGGGAATCTTACGCTCCCACACTCAAAGGCTCTCTCATGTTTTGCTAGAAATAAACCACGTGTCGTTTCCGTATGTGACTACCAGAAAATCATAGTTTTATAAATTGCCAATCTGGCATTCGTTGATAGACTTCGAAACCTCAATAGTCGCTGTATCTTATAAAAACATCGGCTTCCCGCAGCATTCCTGGCTCCTATCTCAGTTTCTAAGTCATTGTCTGCCGTCATAAGGGATCCCTGGTACTTTTGAACTCTCTACATACTGGGAACTCTCTACATACTGGGAACTCGTATTGGCCTGTGCTTAGTGTCGCTTTTGATGAGGGCGATGTCTTGAACTCTTCATGTACATCGTCTTTTGCTCGTTTATGTGTATACCTCAAGCTGCTGCAGCGGTCTGAAATTCCTTTAATGCACCTGTCAGCGCTGGGAGCGTCCTTGCTACAATCTCTACGTCATCTGCGTACGCCATGTGTTGTGTGTAGCTGTCAAAGATGGTACCTCCCAGGTTCGTTCTTATGACCATTGCCGACTTCTCCAAGGTCATGTCAAAAGGGGGAGTAGCCTGGGTATTCCCGAAACCACAGAGAACTCCTCTGACAGCAATCCTTGTAGTTTCACTCTGCATCTGGTATATGCCATAGTCATTTTTACTAAGAGTGAGCTTCTTAGATACACCCAGAGAGAAGAGATCCTTCAACAAAACCTGCCTATCCACTGAGTCGTATGGCTGCTGAAAATGAATGTAGAAGTGATGCAGGTCGACGTAGTATTCGAGTGATTTCTCTAGCACCTGTCGGACGGTAAAGATCTAATCAACAGTCAATCTATCCTTCCTAAAGCCACACTGATATTAGCCTACTTCCCTCTCCATGTATGATACTAGCCTCATACCAATGGCAGAGGGTAGTAATTTATAAGCTATGGCAAGCAGTGCTATGCTTCGATAGTTCCTGCACTATAGCTTGTCTCCCTTCTTATAGATTGGGCATAGGACCGACACTTTCCATTCATCTGGGACCTCTTCCTTATATCATCCATATGTCCAAATCTTCATCCATATATCATAAACACGTTTACGGAGCTCATCCCAATCTTCATCTCCACCATACTTGAAAAGTTCGAGCTGGATTCCGTCTATGCCTGGCGCCTTATAGTTCTTCAGACCCTTCAAAATTTCCGTTATTTCGTCTTTGTCGGGGGGACGTTCGTCGTCAGCTACTACCTTGGAGCCTGATTCTATTTCATTAAGCCTTTCTGCATTTTCTGTTCTGTCCCGGTTAAGCAGCTCCCAGAAATGCTCCGCCCATCTGCCAATACTGCTTCCTTACCAATCACAAGATTCCCCTCCTTGTCTTTAGCAAAATTAAGACCAGATTTGTATCCCCTCTTGACGTCTCTTACACCTCTGAAGAAACTCCTGGAGTTCTATGCATCTAAGTTTTCTTGTATCACCTCTAAGTTTCTCTTGTCATATAACGTTTTCTTCTGATAGCATGTCTTCTTGGCTTCTTTTTTCTTTTCCTTAAATCTTGGGCAGCAGCTCTGGTAAGCCGTTGAAGCATTCTCCTCCTCGCTTCATTCCTTGCCTCTACCCGAGTCTTGCATTTGTTACAATCTTCTGCCTCACTTCTTTTTTTATGACGTTCAACGGCAAATCGTGGCGCAGGTTTTTCAGCTCTCCCCCCGGTTCTTAATACCATCTTTTGTCTGTATTTCACCTTCACCAAATGATGGTCTGAACCACAGAGAGTTCCACGAATGCTTCTTACATCCGCTATGCCCGTTTCATTTCTTGCCTGGATTAACACATCTGGTTGCGTGTTTGCCCATCTGGAGATACCCAAGTCTCCTGGTGTATATTCCTATGATATACTCAATGTTTCCTCCGTGTAAACATAACCTGGTCATCCGCAAAAAAAAGAGGAACTAGCTGTTCATCGTCGATAAAAGATCTTATATCTCCTCACTGACCATACCATTGCCTTACAGACACGTGGAGGTAAATCTTGAAGAGAGTCGGCGCCATGCTAATATATATAAAGAAATTCTTTGATAATTTAAGAATTTTCTTGGTCGTTAATATTGCGGCAATGATTTTATTCAGTCTTGGCTTCTATACTCCACTTAATAAGTTAGAGAACTAATGACCAAGAATCCTTTTGCACCTAAAGCTCTTTTTCACCAACTGTAGTTGATATAAGTTTCATGAGATGCAGTAATGGGTTCGTATTAGCTAAGGGACAGTTATCCTGTAAATCAAGCTAATTACTTATTGGATTGATTATTACTTCAATATACCCTTTAAAAACAATGGAGCTTCACCGATTGGGTGTTCTGAACAGACTTTCTTGATAAGAATATATTCTTTATACGAAATAAAGTGTTTTCCTAATATCGTTTTTACTTCAAATATACTAGGAAGAAAATGAAAGATAGACAAGGCGATATTTTTCAAACAGGTACATTATTGGTTATACATGTAATAAAAGTGACGTGGCTGGAAGTAAAACGATGATGTCTTTTAGAGTGCTACTTTGTCCTACATGTGGTAGCCTGTGTGTAAACATTATGCATTTAATTATTTTTCTTTAGGCTGTAATTATGGTATGAGTAGTACATAAATGCGTCGATTACCATCAAGTCTTATAGAAGGCAGAATAGTATTCAATCAAGTATATGATTTTCTGCCACGATTCTTTTATGATAACTGAAACATAAATTACACTACTAATGATTTTATAAGGTGCAGATCTGATTGCAGGACGATCGAGCACGATTGATGCGGAGAACGATAATGAGGTATGCCAACCTCTCATTACTCCTTACGCTCCGGATGATGTGTCCATCGGTTAAGAAAAGATTTCCGACTCCTGATCACATAGTGGAAGCTGGCTTCCTATTATCGAATGAGAAGATAATATTTGATAAACTAGATCTCAAGACAATTCATCCAAAGTATTGGATGCCACTTGTTTGGGCAACTGCTGTTATTTCCAGGGCTAGGAGAGAAGGAAAGGCAAGGTGACTTATTTAATAAATCAATAAAAGCTCTCGTAAGTGTTAGACTATGTAGTTAGTGCAGATGTATCCTTGTAATAGTTGGCAAGTTTGTAATTAAAATTATTGCAATAGATTTGGAATAGGTTAAAATATATTTTTAAAGAACATACGTCTATATTTATTTATATATAATTCTAACACATAAGTTGTGTAATTAAAAACTAGATTGACAATCAGATCTCAATTGTCGTATGGTCATAAAACAAATTGTTTGTATTGAAAATGTTGTTTATAGTCCAATGCACTTAGAATTTACTTACTAGACTGGCGGATCCAGGAATTTTCTAGACGCACCTCTGTACCACGTGCTTCCCCCACCCCTACCCTTTCTCCGGCCACTATCCATTTCCCCCCACTCCTTGTGCTGAGTTTAGCCGCTCAAAAGTCACCGCCGTTGCCTGGCAACCTGATCTATGATCCAAAGATATAAAAATAGTCACGAGTTCGCGTCCCGGTGCCGGGGGAGTCTTTTAAATCCCCGCCCACAATCCCTGGCCCGGGAAAATCCCGTATAACCTTAACGGCGAGGAAGGGAAGGACTAAAAAAAGTAGTGCTTCCTCACTACCGAAGATAGGGAAGCTTTGTATACTTGCGAGAGATTAAAAATAATTCTACTGTACGTTTCAGACATAAGGATCAAATTTGGTTCCGCATCTGTCTGTCTGTCTATAGTCAAATCGATGTAACGGGCATCTATTCCTGTTTATCCGATTTTCAGGGAATGTGCGGATTGGTGTCTAGATGGTCCCACATCAATTTCATCAAATTCCATCCACCACTTCCGCTTACGCACGCTCGAATGTATTTCCTTAGCTATGCCAATATTTCATGAACAGTTCGTTCGATTCAACTTAAAGTTGAAAGAAAGATAGATGTTAATAAAAACATAATGTTGTATCAATTCCATTGCATTCCGTCAACTGCTTTCTCTTAAATATGCCCAAACGTATTTTTCGTGACAGTCTATAGCTTAAAAACCGCACAAGTAGATATCCATTTCAGAATATGCCGTCCCCTACTTTCTGAAAATACTTCCGCTTTCGAATCTGAAAACTTATGGTTTTTAACACGCCTATATTTTGAAAACCGCTCGTTCAATTAGACCGAAAGTTGAAGGAATAGTGTAGAAATTCTCTAGTACCAATTTAATTGAATTCTATTCAACAATTAAAATTAATATAAACAAATTTTAAAGATATAATGACTGTGAAATGGGAAAGGCGTTGATCATGTGAAAGGGATGTTATGAGGTTATAAACTTTTAGACTGTATTCAAAAAAGTTAAATTATACTAGATGTTATGTCGATTACATATTACTGTCATGACACCAACAGCCGTTACAAAAAAACTTGAAGAAATTTTCAATGATTGTGGAGGTTGAATCTCAGATGGCCCAATATAGATATTGCTGAATCTCTTCACCAGCTTTCGCTTAGGTCTGCGACTTCCCTTTATAATATGTACAGTATGTTTGTAAATTTAAATTAAATTTAACTGCTTGTAAAAAATAACGTCATATTTGTGAGTTCCTTTGAAGTTCAACCTAGTAGTTCTGGTCTCGATTTCCCTCTCAAACTTCAAAGTGGTAAGGGGCTTTATTCCGAATTTTTTTTTAACTAGTTATAATTGAAGGGTAAGATGTAAGCATCGATAAGATTTAAATATGTATAGGCCCAGTAAAAATAAATACATACGTATAAAATAATTTGATTAAGATATTTTTGTATTTAATTGGTGAATTTAGTGAGGAAGCTATAAGGAACTGACCTTACTTGGCAGACGTTTTTTAATTTATATTAATGCATCCGGGCACAATATTTTTGCCACTATCTACTGTTATTTTGATTTTGTTCTTAAGGGATTCTGTTCCAGGATAATAAAGAAATTTTTCATTTCAATTTTAATTTTCTCTTCTTGGTTTATTTAATTAATCATAACACTAAAAATTAACAACTTTTAAGAACGTGAAAGAGTATATCGACAGCCACATTGCAAAAGCCTGTAAGGAAAATGAGCTTTTGAGCATTTTCTGGTCAATCTTGTCCTGGCCCGTATTCTGATCCCACAAAATGAAATCAACGATGTTTCGTTTCTTCACTATGGCCTTTTGTAAAAACCCGTTTACAGTGAAGTTTATAGAGATTGTGTCAATAATAAAAAAAACGTAATGAAATGCTCTGAACGGTAGTCATGTAAATACAGAATGTATAAGGCGTTTTGAGCATAGACTAACGTATCAATTAGGTTTATTAATGGACTAAAATTAATTTTTGTCATACACTTTGTATTATTTTTATAAATTTCTAATAAGTGTCGAGCACTTCCAGGCTGGCGCCTCTGGTCAAATGCCCGAGTTTCCCTGCTCTGACGGCGGCACTGCTTACTATGGAACTAGACGAAGGTTACCTAAAACTTACCAAGCATTCGTGAATCTAATCATGTCCATATGAAGGTGAGTTCGTCAAAAACGAATCTTTCATAGACGATTCCATGCACTGCGTTCGAGCCGCCCCTACCAAATACTCGCTTTCCAGTAAATGTTTTTACAATTTTTCATTTGAAGTATCGTTTCATTATATTTTGGAAACTGACTTGGTTCCTGTCATGCTTTGATCATTATTAACAAAGCTATCCGTGTTACTACAGTAAATTTGATTGCTTTTATCTAACTCTAATACCTGATTTTCGAATTAAATAAAGGTATAATTTAAAATTAGCATTACATATTTGTCTCAGGCCTGCAAAAAAAATTAACCGAAAATATAATGCTCTTTGAATTGCGCTGTTCTTTTTTTTTTTCGTCTCCTGAATATTTTTAGTTTTTGTTCTTACAGGCTTTTGCAGTGTGGCTGTCGATATATTTTTGTATTTACATGATTTGTTTTTGGTAATGCTTCATATTATATTTTTGTTTTTTGAATGATTATTCAACTGAACATTAGAATCAATAAACATGATAATAAAAATAGATGTATGTGACGAACAAAACTTTCTTGATTTAAATAGATGTTTTTTTTTCGTTAGAGGTCCTCAAAAATAAACCCGACCCAAATCTTATTAAGAGATCGCCGAACCGGGAGAGGAATTTTTTTTTTGTTTTTTGTTTTTGCCATTGTGTCTAGAGTGAGCTTTTTAATTAACTATAATAAATAATGTAATATGGGCCTAATTTCCAAAAAATGATTTAATTTCTGTCCAGATAGGAGATGACTTTTCTCTTAAGACCTTGATTGACGAAATCAACAAATTCAGAGGAGGTTGCGGTGGCCTACTTAACTTTGATTGGATCAGTATACCACTAGTGTATACGCAGGTAGTTATTTTTTAATTTAAAATATATTTTATGGGCCAATATTATTTATGCTCCTAGATGTTTTTTAAAATTCTAAAATTAATGCCTTAGTCATAAATAAATTTTTCAATTTATTGGCATTATTTTTGTGATCTAGGTGGTGACATTAGCAGTATATACGTATTTTACTGGGACTCTCATGGGCAATCAGTATTTAGATCCATCAAAAGGATATCCTAACCATACGATTGATCTGGTTGTACCAGTCTTCACATTGTTGCAGGTAGTTTTTTATTCAATTATTAACTTACCATTTAATGGTTTTTAGAATAAATATGTCTTCTTCTTCTTTCTCTTCTTCCTATTTGCCTCTCGGCGTGGGGGTGGCTGCAGCCACGGCGTCATGCGTCTCGGTCCCACATCATGTTTCTCATCTCGCCGTCATTTCATGTCGTCGTTCGATGCCGTCGATGTGACCCAACAAAAAATTCCAGATTCTACCTCTGGGTGTCCTGCCCAATAGTTTCACCTGCATCGTTTCGATAGGATTCCTATGCTACGGTATCCATGCGGCAGACTTGTCAAAACCACCTCTATCTCCATATCAGTTGACGGTTTTCTATTAGTTTCTGAATTTTCTTAGTTCTTCCCTGATTTTTCATTTCTGATGCGATTTCTTCTTGCCTTTCATTTTTCTCTTATCAGGAACCTCATCTCAGCTGATGTGATCCAGCTCTGTAAAATTTTTCAGTCAGAACCCAGTTCTGAGCTCCATAAAGAAGGCCCGAGATGTACAAAGACGGGCCTCTTGTATTCACTCAGTGTGTAGTAAACTGAATTTACCTTTGAAATCCTGTTTATTATTTCTGAGTACACTTTCTCGGATCTGTTGATACGGATACGTGAAATCCGACACTACCCCAATTATTATTACAGAAGATTTTGTTTTTAAGGGAAAAAATTTAAAAAAATCTTACGCCTAGGGGAGTTGATGGTTATAATCTTCCTTTTCAGCACCTCATATCACTCAATAATTGCTTATTTAAGTCTTTCAGCGGTATCTGCGTTGAGAACTATATCGTCTACAAAAGGGAAGAATTGAGCTACAAAAGTGAATAAATTCCATCGGCCCATATGGTTTCGAGGAGTATGTCTCTTACAGCAAGAGACAATCCCATCCATATAAATGACAAAGAGGAGAGACCTGAGCGAGTATACTTGCTTGACTGTTATTTCATCTTGAACTCCTTGGATTCCTGGCCATTTGGGCCTTCGTTTCCTTCGGTTCCTGATATGTAGAGTTAATAGCCTCTATCAGGCTAGGAGCAACTTTATTTGCTCTCAGGGCTCTCCAGATTTTTTTTTTCTAGGAGTAGAATGAAAGGCTGCTTTCAGGTCCAGAAAAGCAAGATATACGTTCTTGTCACGGTCTTATACCTTATCTATTATATTTCGCAGAGTGAAAATGTGGTAAATAAATATATATAACGTGAATCGGAGAACTAATATTTATGCCATTAAATATTTATAGAGTTCTATTATTAAAATAAACCGTTGTAGGCAAGTAAAATAAAGAATTAAAAAAGAAACCAGGCAGGTCTATGATGAAACCTGAAGAGATCCTATATAATTACTCCTTTACATTTTTTATTTCTGTGGTAATTTCTTACTACACTACGAAATTCTGCATCAAAACATCAATATCCCATTTGTCCTAGACCATATTCCAGAAAAACTCCAAATTTCACTGGAATCATACACATCTCCTAAAATAGTATTTATCTATTTCCATTAATTAGGAGTGCCCAAGGTCGAAGGCATATGAATGTCCTCCTCCCTCCCAAGAAAATTTTTTTCGCCCCTCTTTATAAAAACATTATAAGCAAAAGTATAATTCGAAAATCGTGGATCATATAGAAGTGCACTTGCGGTGATCAGGTCCTTTTGTTTCCCCTTGTTTCCTGGATTGAAACTTTTTGAGTCCGAAAAATCATAATCCTGTCGAAGTGTGCCCCTTTCAAAAATTCAAAATCCAGTAAAAATGTTCCTTCCTCAAAAATTTGTATGGCACCATCAAACCTTCTTTTGGGCACTTGTGCCACTCATCACTACAATCCTTCTCAAAGGTTGAAACGGTAGTATCCCCGCAGTCTTTTGTAATGTGTATATATTAAATTTTGGCAAATGCCACATTTCCTACTCACGACATGAGTGTAAGTGACTAAAGCGCTCTCGCCCAATCTCTAATGGGTTTAGTCCCAGTGATGCAGTTAAAAGAGTGGAGTAGGCATCTCCTGGAATCTTGCTTTTCCCTCCACAAGACCACAAGATGGTACGGAGTTCCCTCACCTAATTGCGAATAGTGTCAATAGATATATTTTTTCTTGTCTCTTTTATTTTATTTATTAATCTTTCCTGTAAATATAGCGTGAGTGTACTCTTTTCTCACTGTGACCATTGTCCATATTGTTGCAGAATATTATATTTCTCAAAAAAATAGTATTGAAAAAAAATGTTACTTTTTGTTAAAATGTTACTTGGAAAAAAAAAGTTTTCCTTAAATTTATTCCCAAAAGAATTGTGATTTTTATTGTACATTTTGTGACAAAACATTTGTACTTAAAATTGCTGAAAAAAATTCAAATTATCATTAAAGTTTGAATTCCGAATCATAACACGCTTTTTCTTCAAATTTTATGACTGATCAAAAACACGATCAACAATACGATTTTAGTTTAAAATGTCATTTATTCAAAAAGTATTTTTAATATGCTATTGAATGACATTGCATGCTTAAGTAGTACTTGTACGAGAAAAAAAGAATAACTTTTTTAGAAAAAAATGAAAAGAAGAAAGACACTAACTAAACAAAAATCAAACATTAACTTTTTTTTTCCGTAGCTTACGAAGGTGAATGACATTCAATACTAATACTTACCGGGTTATTCTACAGTTGATCTTCTCAAGGCACCACTAATCAAAACTTTGTAGAGAAAATGAATATCGGAACCGAATACTGTATTCTTACATGGAAAATATCCTACTTTTCTTTAAATATTCTATTTTATTCGTCGGGTAGTTTTATTGAGAGGCATTAGAAGCCTTTTGAATAACTTAAAATCTTGGGAACAGTATTTTTTGAGGTTTCCCAGCTTATCAATACCATGTTTTCTATTAAATTAAATACCAGCTAAATATAAAGTAATTTATATCTGTAGATAAGTCCTATAATAATGTTCACAAAGATTGTAAGTGCCTTCAGATATAAACGGTTTGCAACAAAAATGCCTGCAATGTTATTTTTCAACATTGCTTATTTTTTACTTAACGTCGCTAAAATTGGTTGAGACTAGAATCATCCTTATTATATAAACGGGCCCTCTTGTGAAATTTCTGAATAATATTGTATGGATTATATTTATTAAATATTGTGTATTCAATCACAAATCGGTTTAATTTTGTATTATCACATTAAAATATGATTTTAATTAGATTTTTTGATTAGTTTTTCTTCTACATGGGTTGGCTATTAGTGGCAGAAACTCTAGTAAATCCATTTGGTGAAGATGACGACGACTTTGAAGTTAATTGGCTAATTGATCGTAATCTGCAGGTAATAATGACAGTCATTTAATTTCCTAATTACAGTTTAGAAATAATTATCACGTTTCCGACTGCTCCAACACTTACTGGACAAACGCTCTAAACTTTCAATTACTTACAAAAGACTCTTCTACTTAACCATAACTTACTTAACCTATATGGACATACGGAGTTGAGCTTTGGGGTTCTACCAAACCATCGAATTCCTATCGTATCCAATCCTTACTATCCATTATCGGATCCAAAATAACTGCCGGAGCATATTTTATTTAGTTGGGTACCCTAATAACCGAAAGATTTTTATATTTTTAACAAATATTGGAGGAGACTTTGGCTACCTGGGTATTGCTGCGGACTCTATTACTTCTCTGTCATTTTAAAGCATTTGGTAACGGTTTGGAGTAAAGAAAGGGGATTCTTCGACCATTTCTTGCGAAGATGCACCTAGTTGAAGATGAGGTTCTGGTTCTAAAGAATTCTCCATGGTCACTGAAGATGTTTCTCGTAGGCTACGACGAGTTCTTTGTTTCGCTGATGAACCACAAAGGGTAGAGCCTGACCGAGACCTCTTAGTAGGCGCCTTTCCAGATCCATATAATAAAATAAATTTATCCCAAATTTTAAATTAATTATAAAAATGCAAAATTTAGGTTTTCAGAACTAAAATTATTAGTCATCAGGCGTATAAAATATAATAGAACATTACTTTGTATCGAAGTACGTCGGAGGGAGTGATGGTGGATTTTATATCCGATTTAAAACACTATTATAAATAATTCGAAGATGTCTGCTTTGTCTGTTTATTTATGCAGTTTTATTTCACTACATTAACAAATCTTATAAAAACATGGCGTGCAGTTTTCGATTCTGCTACTTACTTAAATACTTTTTGCCACTGTACCTGTCACTAGTGTTACTTTGACCGAGTAAGACTAAGGCAATACCCGTGGCGCATATATTTTGTTTTTTCAAGGGAAATTAATTTTTAGGCAATGTTTGTAATCCAGGTTAATGTAATCTTCGTAACTATTTTGATGCACTTAAAAATTATCGATTTGTTTTAAAACTTGAACAACAATATGAGAAATTAGCGTTATTGGAGGTATTAAATGGAAAAAATATGCTCGACTTTTTGGGCAACTTTTTTTTATCCTGACTTCGCCCTTGCCATGGAGGGTTGAAATTTATTTCAACCTCCCTCTCTGATTAGAATCACAGGCGGATCTACGGGGGGGAGGGGGGCTTTCGGGCTGAAGCCCCCCCAAAATGGTAAAATATAACCATGTTTTATGGAAAAATATATTAAAAAATTATCTCTTAAAGTATTATTGTTCGTGTAATTACATTTTAAAGGGCTTAAGAAATCACTTAAACACCATTTCATATAGATATTTAGTTTCTTTCTTTTTTTCCAAAAGTAATTATAGTCATTTTTATGAAAAAAAAGCTTTCGGGCTGAAGCCCCCCCAAAATTAAATTCTGGATCCGCTAGTGATTAGAATAGATTGGTAAGCCACTAAACAACCGCTTCGTATAAGGTATAGGTATTCGTATAGGGTACTAAACCCTAACTTTCTTTCAAATTTGAGCCAAACAGAACTTGTGGTTTTAGAGATATAGATGTATTGCGAAAACACGTTTGCGCACATATTAGAGAAAGTATTGGACAGAATTCAATAAAATTGGCATTCGATTATTTGTTTACTACTTTTTATTTGTTACCTACTTTTTATCCAACTTTGAACCGAATCGAACGAGCTATTTTTGAAATATTGGTGTATGAAAAGAAAACAAAAATACGTTTGCGCGTGCGTAAGCGGAAGTGCTAGATGGAATTTGATAAAATTGATATGGGACCATCTAGGCACCAATCCGCACAATCTCTGAAAATTTCATGATAATTAGATGAAAGATAGTAGGCGATATGCCCGTTACATCGATTTGACTACAGACACCGAATTCAATTTGATTCTTGATGTCTAAAACTCGAGAGGATAATTTCGATTCTGAGCACAATTTTTTTTTTTAACCTCCCGCACGAATACAATGCTTCCCTACCTTTGGCAATAAGGAAGCAATATATATTATCTTTCTAGTTTATCTTCAACTGTGCAAAAGTTAGATCAATCATATTGCGAGAATTTGGATAAATAAATATTTTTTATTATATACTTTATTATATTGCTTTAGCTCTCTATACATCTAAATTTCTACATAAATCGATATAATTAAATATATATAATATATAATACTCGTATATAATTAAATATATACATAACAACAAATATTATAATTTTTTTTTTCTGCAAATTCTGGGAATTTGTAATTGATCTAACTTTCGAACCGTTGTAGATAAGCTAGTAAAATATTAGTATTCTAGTAAAATAATAAATAGAATATAAATATTAAAAATAATATATTCTAGAAGTTAATTTAATTATTATAAAGTTTCTTCTTCATGACTTAATCGTAGAACGAAGCAATCAAGAGTTTGCTAATCAAATAAAATAAAAAACTTGAGGTATAAAATTTTGTTTTCCAAATCAGCGACAGTTGAGGACGGATATCTCGGAAACTAAGCAAGGTAGCGAAAAAATATGAATAACCAACCATATTACAAATTTTATCAGCTTTAATTTTATATTGAACGTCTTTGTCGATGCGGTAGTTAATTTTCCTAATAAAGTGAAAACCCGAAAAAGTGAGTATATTTACGACATTTAGTATATTTACGTCCTTAATAGTCCAAACAATGTCAAAAAGTCAAAAATTGTGTCTCCGCCATTTCCTTCTATAGGGGAATACCCACTTTTTGAGCATTCATTGATTGGACTATTAGCCTTTATACAGTCTGTAATTATACAGTCTGTATATTATACAGTCTGTAAAAATATTAATGGTTGGGTTGCGATCAGTTCTGTTACATGGTGCTTCGCAAGTTCTTTAGCGAGCATCCATAATTCATAAGGACTTGTGTCATCAATTTCATTTGACGTGAATGAATTGCAGAATAGAAATTGGAACATTTGCAAATAAACAAGAGGTATCATATACTACATACTGGTCTCTATCATTTTATATTTTAATGGCTAATGATCATTAAACGGAATCGAATTAAGTATACAAGTTTTATATAGGCTTGTACAGTATTAATTATAAACGTTTTAAAAAGTATTAATTATATAAAGTTTTGTCTAATTTCGTGAAATTTTGTCACAGATTTCATATGTTATTGTTGACGAAATGCACCAAGAACATCCGGAACTGATAAAAGATCAATATTGGGATCAAATTTTTCCTGCCGAGCTTCCTTATACTGAAGCAACAAAGCAATGCTTTGTTGAAACGTTCTTGGGATCTACGTTTGGAGTTGATGTACCCGAGCACATGCAAAATTTTATTTTACTCTCCGAACTGAGAGAAGTAAGTGAAATTGAAAATTTTGTTGTATATGTATGTATGCTTCAGCATATAATTGCAGTGATTATTAACTAAAGAATAATTTTCAATTACATAATTATTGAAATATAAATAGAAAAAACTCATATTCATAGATTGTTTTACATATACGTTGATTGTTTTCACACTTCTCTACATTAATCATTTTGAATGTATTACGTCGCTTTATTTATTTTTTCTGTGGCCAGATGTATATTGTAATAAATTAATTACTAAAATATATTTCTTGTTTATAAACAATGTGTAAAAAAAAATCTGCTTTTTAAACAAATAATTATTTCGAAATTACCATTTATAATGTTAGTGCACCAGTGGTTTTTATACAGATCACAATTATGGGAATAGATCTTTATGGTTTTAGGTAACCAAGTAAATTCTTCTTATCTTCTATTATTTACGTATCCATAATATAATAAAAGTAACTGGTGGATTTCATAATTTTTGTTTAATAGATATTAATAATGTGCTTATTGTTGGATGTATCTGGGCCAGGGGCTTATTCATATACGCATTTATAGAAATTATAATGAAATATGTTTGGCACCATTAGCGGATCCAGGATTTAATTTTGGGGGCCTTCAGCCCAAAAGATTTTTTTTCATATATATAACGATAATTAATATGAAAAAAAGAAGAAAGAAATGAACTACCTATATGAAATGGTGTTTAAGTGATTCTTGAAGTCCTATTAAATGTAATTACACGAAAAATAACACTATAAGAGATATATTTTTATATTTTTTCTATAAAACATGGTTATATTATACCGTTTTTGGGGGGGGGAGGGAGGGGGAGGGCTTCAGCCTGAAAGCTCCCCGTAAATCCGCCTGTGTTTGGCACAGCTTGATCTTGCTTGATTCATTCTCTCTAGCAATTCAATTAATACTTCAATTACTTCAATTGATACCATTTAATATCCAACATTTTTGAATAAGTATTAATAATAATAAAAACACACATTTTGATCTCAACAGTCCTACTTTATTTTTCTTTTATAAACCTAAGTTTCACCCCTTAGGCTATTTTCAAGGGGGAAAACCTTTAACAAATTCACAAATCATCACAGCCTAATTATACTTTTCCATTAATTATTACTATTTTATACTTTATGACTACTTACTTATTTAAAAACATTAAAACACATGGACTGAATTGCCTCGATAAGTATTTACTTAAATCAATTTGCACGGTAGGATTCAAGAAAGGAAACGACGCCTGTTTCGATAAAGAGGTCACCACAAGAGTCTGATGACACTTTCCTGTATACAGCTGGTTTTGATGTCAACACCTTAGGTATGAAACAGATTTTCTTAATTACATACCTGATATAAACTTTTTATTACTTGGTAAGTAATGTATGGTAATCTTATCTTAAAATAATTTTAATCAAATTCTATCATATATGATTTATTAATAACAATATGTAAGTCGATTTGATTGAAGGAATAAATGTTATCATCAATCATGGATTATTAAAAAAAAAATACATGAATGTTGTAGATTAATTTATTTATTCTAGATAAAGAATATGATTTTAAAACAATATAGTCTTAATACAGTTTGATTTTTTTAAATTCCAGTATTTAATATTTTCACTATCTTTTTATTTATTTATTCAGTAATATAACATATTGTCTATTTGACAATTGTTATAGTGAGATAAGACCACATTCACACTATGTATACATAATATATATATATATATATATATATATATATATATATATATATATATATATATATATATATATATATTTATTTATTTATGATATTTACAACGTTTTTACAAATAAAAATAAATTCAGTAAATGTGAACATAATAATATAATAACATGAAACCATGAATCAGCGGAAATTGGTCTGTTCCATCAAATCGGCAATTTCTTGACCAAATGTGATGAAGTTATCGATTTTAGATACGAATATAGTTGCCGGTTCGGGCTCAAAAAACTTTTGAAGCTCCGGAATCTTTTTTGATGTTTTATTAAAGGGTACAGAATTATTGGTGTTAGTGTTTTAGTAGATTTATTTTGTTCGGTTGACTTTTTATATTTATTCGATTAATTTTGCTCTGCTAGCTGTTTAGGTTTAGCTGATTTATTTTTTTTCTTGTTGGGTGAATTACCTTCCGACCCAGGAGGAGTGTTTCGATGACGTTTTTGAAGTGTTTGTCTTTTTAAATACTGATAATCTATTTCGCTAACATCAGAAAACGGCGTTTCGTCCTCCGAATCTTTACTATAAATATAAATAAATATCAGACAATGAATAGAAGACTAATATTAAACAGTAGCTATTATTTCAATAATAGCCATTATTAGTTCAACCAAAGAAAGAAGACATCTAACAACACAGAGACATCTAGCGGAGTAAGCATGCTTGCTATCTAAATTCATATTTTCCATATTATGATAAGAGAGACTATATATATATATATATATATATATATATATATATATATACTCCTAAATAAGACAATTAGAAAGATTAAAGTTTAAGAAATAAATTTTATAAAGTTTAAAAAATAAACTATATACATAACTATAATCAGAAATAAAATAAAACATTTCTTATAATAAATAATCAAATAAAAATAAAACAGAGTCTGGCAAAATAAAAAACGACTTTCCTACCTATTTCAGAAAAGTTTTTATATCTATACATATGTCCATCAAGAAAAAAAAAAAAAAAAAATTAAATTAGATTTATTTTTCTGAAAGTTGCCTTTGATTTAAAATTGCTGCCTTTGAAGATTTAAGGATGCTATTTCAGGATCTTAGTTGATGGCGGTTTCATCAGCCAATGTTACCAGGAAGGTATCAGGATGAAAAGGGATATTAACAGTAAAGGGGATATAAAGGCCAGGGCCCAAAACGCGCTACCCCGAGGAACACCAGCCTAACCTGGATAGTAATTGGAAAAAAAAAAGATAATAATGAAGTGTTTCCATAAAAGAGGAAAGTTTGTGGTTAGTAGAACGCCATTGTATACGTAAGTGAGGAATAAGACAGGAGGAAGTTGTCAAAGGATCTGAGAGGTAAGGAGGTATTGAGGCGATTTTACGGGTATTTAGTTTTTGTAAGTGATGGTTGAACTCATGAGGATTAACTGATTTAGGCGCTAAGAAGAGTAGGTTGGATGAATTAAGGAATTCTTCTACTGCTGTGGTGTAGGTGGGGTTGGATTCCGAATGAGAAGTGAATGTAAAGAAAAAATGTTATGCAGATTTCTCGGCTCATCTTCGTCAGCCATCAACTTGAGGGAGAGGATGTGAAATATGGTAGGGTTTTAGGATTTTTTTGGTCATCTTCGATACGGAATTGTCCTGAGGAGAGAGGGAAGTAAGATAGGAGTTGAAAGATTGGGATCTGATATTGCAATCGGTGGAGTGTCTGGTACGTTGCCATAATAATCTGGCACGGCGTTTGGTGTGGATTAGGTGTATACATCACTTCATCCTGGGCACGGGCGGATCTACGGGGGGGGGGCTTTCGGACTGAAGCCTCCCCCCAAAATGGTAAAATATATCCATGTTTTATCGAAAAAAAGATTTAAAAATATCTCTTAAAGTATTATTGTTCGTGTAATTACATTTAAAAGGGCTTTAAGAATCACTTAAACACCATTTCATACAAGTAGTTAGTTTCTTTCTTTTTTTCCAAAGTAATTATCGTTATTTTTATGAAAAAAACAACTTTCGGGCTGAAGCCCCCCCAAAATTAAATCCTGGATCCGCTAGTGATCCTGGGTGAAGTCAATTCCTTAGGAATTGAGGATAGATTTGAGCTGGACATTGGATATGGATCTGTTAGGAGGAAAATGTGCTGATGCTAGGGTGACGAGGAAGGAGCAGGTTTTGATTAAAAAAAAAAAAAATAATGAGCCTTGGAAATATTAAAATACTGGAGTTTAAAGAAATTACACTACTTTTTTAAGACTATAAGGTGTTAATATCATATTCTTTGTGAATAAAAAATAAATTTACTCATAACATTCATGAATTTTTCCGGTTTAATAACACATAATTGATGATAAAGTATAATCGTTCAAATTTACTTACACTTTTACATAAGTATGTTATATATGAAGATTCAATTAATAAACTTATGCAATAATAATATAAGCTTACTTTACGTACCAAGTTTTTATACTAAATTAGAATATTATTATAGTTTTCAATATATTTCACGTTACTAATACTATCAAACGTACTTAACCATTCGGTTCAGTGCGACAAATTACATAAAACATGAATCCCCTTAAAATTATTATGGATAAAAAGCCGATGTCCAGAAAATCGAGCCTTTCGTCTCAACGTTGTAATGAAAAATTATAAATTGGTTTATTTCAAATTACATTTTACATAACGGTATGAACATACCAACAGTAAACTCTGAAATACATGAAAAATATTTCACTTTTCAGCACTTAATCATCCTATCCACTCGTTATCACTTTCCTCCTCTCTATTATTCCGTCATCCTGGACAATGATTAAAAAGAGAATGGCCCAGAACTCTTATTTGTGCACATTTACATTGTTTTTTAATGTGATCTTTGTGTGCATATTTCAAATGATTGGTTGAAAAATAATAAGTGAGGAATTTTTAAAATAATATATATGTTTAAGGAAGTTCTGTATCCTTGACGAATCCCGTTTGGACAAGACGTAAAAGAACCAGAATATCCCGACATAGTAGCATGAGCTCAATTCCAAAACCATATATTTCGGAAGACTACCAGGTACATTAAAAACTAAATAATAAATTAAATATTTTTATATTTAATATAGTTTCTTTAAACATGAATAAATGTTCCTAAAAAACTGACTCTAATAAAATAACTTTGAGCATAAACAGATTCGGATGGTCAATCGTTTTAGAAATAGAAATAGAAATAGAAAATAACTTTATTCTAGGACAAAATCCCTTTAGAATAACAAAATAGAACATAATTAAAATACTACATCTGGCCAAAATAAAACAATAATAAAAAAGAGAAAGTAAAGAAAATATTAGTTAAACAAGCTATATACAAAAAAAAAAAAAATCTATATACAAAAAATTTAAAACTATGATAAAACACTTAGGAGTATGTACAGTAGGAAAAATTATAATTATACTCTTTTGAAAAATAAAATAATAAAAAATACATTGAGTTCTTCTTTAAAATGAGGTGTGTTTCTGCTAAAAAAGAAATGGCAAAGCTGACAATATAAAATATGAGTGTCTTAAAATAATTATTAATATGTAGACTCATCATTGTCAAATGCTAGAGGTACAGATTTAATTATATATCAATAAAAATAATAATAAAAATAAAAAAACAAACAATAGATGCGGTCAGTGGCATTAAGAGCCGGAAAATATTGTAATATTCCTAGTGGAGTTCACAGTATAGAATAGCACTATCGTTTGATGATGACTAGAAATGTATAATATCGAAAGTTTAGCAAGAATCTGACTGTTTTTGGGATAGGAATTGGAATAGGAGGGATTTGAATGTGGATATGGAGGGGGAATGCCGAATTTTGATAGGTAGAGAATTCCAGAAATTGACAGAGCGAGCTATAAAGGAATTCTGAAATGAGGCAGATCTGTGCGAAGGGATGTAGAGGTCAGAAGGTCGAGATATTGTTGAAAGAGAATGGACTGAGGATTTGAATTGGAGAAGGTTGTAGGCGTAAGAAGGACGATGGTTGTTAATGATTTGATAGAGGAACGTACCTAGGAAATATTGTCTTCTAAAGGAGGGGAAGAGCCACCTTAACTCAGTGTAGTGGTGAGAGACATGGGAGTACCTCGGGGCACCGATGACAAATCTTACGCAGCTATTCATTAATCTTTTTAGTCTGTCGCGGAGTTCCACCGAGAGGCCATCATACACCGCACAGCTGTAGTCAAAGTGGGGGACGACGAGAGAGGAAATTAGGAGTCTACGGGTATGTTAAGGTAGGAGATGGCGGAAGCGATGAAATAGTTTAAGGGTAGAAATTGTCCTACGGGAAATGTGAGAAATATGGTAGTTCCAGGAGAGGGTTTGATCTATGAAAAATCCTAATTTTTTAACAGAGGAGTAGAAGGAAATTGGCTGGTCATGAAGGTGTAATATGGGAAAGTCAGTATGGGATCTAATAAGGGGCTTGGAACCAATGACAATGGCCTGAGTTTTGGCAGCATTTAACTTTAATCCATTTACATTTGCCCAGGCACTGATTCGATCAAGGTCTTTTTGAATCTTGGCAAATGCTACCAATAACTCAGAGGGAGAAAAGGATAGGTAGATCTGGGAATCATCTGCATAAAGGTGGTGGGAACAACGGAGAATTGAATTATGAAGGTCGTTAATGTAGGAGCTGAAAAGGAGAGGAGATATGCTTGAACCCTGGGCAACTCCGGAGGATAAAGGAAGGTAGGCAGATAGTGGTTGATTGGATATGGAGACTGCTTGGGTGCGTTGGGAGAGAAAAGATTGGAACCAAGAGATGGAACTATTGGAGAAAGATAATGATTTTAGTTTGTTGAAGAGGATGGAATGGTTGATGGAATCGAAGGCTTTGGAGAAGTCGAGGAGTATAAGGACAGTTAATTTTCTATCATCTATTGCAGATTGAATGTCGTTGGTAATTTTAATTAAGGGAGATTGTGTGGAATAGCAGGGACGGAAACCAGATTGGAGAGGATCAAATTGGTTGGACTTTTCGAGGAACTTGGAGACATGGGATTGCACCAGTCTTTCAAGAGGCTTTGAGAGGTTAGAAAGAATTGAAATTGGACGGAAATCTTCAGGTGAGGGTGGATTAGGTTTTTTATTTAAAGGAACAACAATGGTTTTTTTCCAAGAGGTAGGAAATACTCAATTCTGAAGGGAGTAATTGTAGATAAAAAGGAGAGCTGGAAGGATTTCAGGGAGACATATTTTTATTAATTTTGACAGGGATGCCGTCTGGCCTATGGAATTGGTGTGGGATTTCATTACCGCGGACTTTATTTTATTTTATTAACAGGTCTGTGGGAGAAATGTTGGAAAAATAAAAGTTATTGTCGTTAAAGGATATCTCTGGAGAAAACCCGGAAGAGGAAGGTAGAGAAGAGGTATTAGCGACAGATACAAAATAAGAGTTTAAATCATCGGATGATACAGGAAAGGTGGCGGTAGGGGATCTGGAAGGATTAAAAATGGAAAGTTTGCGAAGCAGTAGCCATTTCGATTTGATATCAGGAGCTGAGGAAAGGGTTTCATGGAAGTAGGAAGCTTTCGCACGCCGGATCCTTGTCTGTGCCAAGTTGCGAAGCACCCCAGATAGTTTTAGTGTTAACTGTGTAGCACGTAGTGGATCCAAGATTCAGTTTTGAGCGCTAACTTTTTACTTCCACTTACCTTTATATGTAATATATAGTAAGGGAAAGTATTGCAATCGTGAAAATTTTCGAATCTGCAAAATTCAACGAAAATACGCGTTTTTAAAATAGATTTTCCTGTGATAAATAGGCTTTAAAATAGGTTCGAAATAATCGATTTTCGAAAATGAAAAGTCGTAAGAAACTGATATTACGTATTTAAGATAAGAATGTGGCTGGGATGTTACAGCAACTTTTTTCTGGAAATCGGCTATTCGTAAGTGGCACTTTATATCAACTATATTACACATTTTTACGATTTTCTCAAAAACGGTTCTAATGATTTTTATTAAACTCGGTATATCAGTTCATTATTAAATGTTGTTTAAGTAAGCCAGGTTTTATCCACATTGATGTCACCTTACAGAGCTAAAATGCCTAATGTTTAAAAAGTGTACCTCTAAAGTGCCTTTAATTTCGTTTATTTAAAACAAATAACTGTCTATTATCATCATAACCAATAAAAAATGGCTGAATATAAAGTATGAAAGAATTTGTGAATTAGCTAAAAGAAAAAAAAAATGAAAAATATGTTTTCAGGTTGAAAATGAATTTCCGGAAATGAGAGACTGAATGTATACTTATAATATATCGTTGGAAAATTGAGAATTTTAGGAAGAGCAATATCTAACATAGAAAGTCGTAGAAGGCAATAGAGTGAAAAAAAATTATAAATAATAATTTCTGAAAACTAATATTATTTAACGGAAAACACATGTTTCCAAGGAAATGAAATGGAATTGTTGTTATTATTTTAGGTTTAGAAGCAACAAATAAAATGAAATTTATTAACTAAATGTAAACATTTAAAATTATTTTTAAGTTTGAATAAAAGGGTATAAAATCCATTGAATCAAGGTAATGGAATTGTTAAAAAACTATTTCATTGTTCTTGTGTGAAAAATAAAGTGAAATATAAAGATATTTCATGGATGGTTTAAAACATATGTTTATAACCTTAAATAAATTTACTGTAGTTTAATAACTGATTCGATATTATATTTAAACGATTTATATAAAAAACCGTGTTACGACTTTTGACTTATCGATGCTGTATTTAAAAGCAAGTAACTGTATTTTGGTATATTTTCCAAGGGTAAAAAATAAGAATTGAAATACCTGTAAAAAGTTATTAAGATTTAATTCCTATAATTTTTACTGGTCAGTATGACCTTACTTATTCATAATCAAATATATGTACTTTGTAATCTCTCTTTGTATATAGATCTCAAAGATTGGTTTGTTTGTTGAGATTTTAAGACGTAAAATATCAGGGTCATCAACGCCTTTAAATTAATTTTGTTTTATCTCTGTATTAAATTTTTAAGAGATTTAAAATTTTATTAAACAAATCTTTTGATTTCAAGAAACCTAAAACTAATTTTATTTTGTCTTTGTCATCCCTCAAAATGTTTGCTATTGAAGGAGTAAGTCCTGAACAACTTAGACTCGATACGTAAAAAGGACACTCCTGTAAAATGTGGCTGACTGTAAGTGAATTATTGCAGCGTTGGCATTGTGGTGGTGGCTGTTTGCTAATAAGGTGCGAATGGGTAATGTTGGTGTGGCCTATTCTGAGTCTGATTAAGACAACGTATTCTCTACGATTTGATGTTGACCTTTATTGTTTGTTTATTTAATATATTTTAATTTGCTTGTCGGACTCTCATTTCACATAGGTTGCCAGCTATTAATTATTTCTTTTTGGAGGGGAAGACTTGTATCTTGCGCCGTTAGAATGGCAGCGCATCGGCATGGAAGGGTAAGTGCTTGTTTAGCTGCCAAATCCGCGAGTTCATTTCCTACGATTCTTATGTGGCTCGTCACCCAAATAAAGTATACCGATTTTCCTAGAGTTTCTAGCATATTTAAATATTTATGAATTTTAAGATGGTTGGATGTCTCGGGTATAAATTATTCATTCCTTTTAAAGAACTTAGAGAGTCAGTTATTATTGTAATGTCTTGAGGGATTATTATCATAGAAATGTGGAGGGCTGAGGCTATTGCATGATGTTCGATTGTATCTATAATGTACAGGTTATGGAGTTTCATTTTGTGGGCCGAATTATGGGTGCTAAAACAAGACGCTGAAGATTTCTCCGATTTAAATCCATCAGAACAGATTAAATACGGTTCTGCTCAGCATTGCCAGAAAATAATTTCTATTCAAAGTAAAGCGGTAAGTGAAAGTTGTGTGTTGCGCACACCAGATTTTTAACGGAAGGAAATATTTTTTTGCCTGTATTTTTTGCTTAAACCTAATGTTCTATGTTGAGCAGACTTCTAGTGAGTCCCAAAACAGCTGAATAATCGGATCTATGAAATCTATAGAATTATTAAAACGCTCAGTGGGACGAATAAGGCAAAACTCGCTATTTTAACCAAAATTCGAAAATCTGTATGAATTTGAAAAGTGTACGTTCATATCTTTTAGATTTTGAATTATATTTAGAGTAAGTTTATAATCGATTCGATTAAGTTTATAATCGAAATTTTAATGGTAAAATTTTAATAAATATGTTCAAAAGTTCGGCACGTTGACTTACTTGTCGCAAAATTAGATGTATTTAAAATATTTTGCTACTCAATTATATCACTCTCGATTATGACCAACTGTCTTGAACCAACTTCTAAAATTTAAAAGGGAATAATAAAAAATACAACAGACATATTGATGAATATGGGTGAATAGCCTAGCTCTTATTACTTTACAAGTCTTTGTTACAATGACCACAAGAGGTGCGGGGTAGATTGTTCACCACTCTCGCTTGTTGTTGAAACGTTTGCCCCTCACTTTCGAAGAGTACTCACAATCATTTCAACAAATTTTGGATTTGATGCGAGTAATTATGGCCAAATTCAATCAAAATGTACCTTCGATGTATGTTTGAAAGCTCATTAAAGTGTAGGAATTAAATGTAATCCTTTGGTAGATCCAATTCCAATTAATCCAAACTTCCTACTTGGGAGAAAGTTAATATTTTTATATTAGAATTTTTCATTTTCTTGAGATAATTTTCTATTTTTCATAGACAACATTTTAAAATATTTCTATTTTCAACACTTGAAAATCTGCAAAGAAATCGTAAATTGATGGGAGTATTTAAGTTTCAATTCGCATCCTAAAGCGTCTACATAATTCCTTCTTGGTGTCTAGTACTTGACTCAATTTGTTTTGTTTTATTTTTATTGTTTGGAATATTTTTTTTTTCTGCTGCTACTTCATTTTTCTTTTTTGTTTGTTTCCCGTCGAAGGCACTACTACTACTCCGTGGCGCTACAGACCGGTGCGGTCCTTGGCTTTCTCAATGGGTCTTCGCCATTTCAATCTATCCTGTGCAGCCTCTCGCCAGTTGCGGATGTCAAGCAGATCTTCTTATGACGTCCCTCGTTACTCCACCTTCTATCTTAATCGAGGCCTGCCTCTTCCTCTAGTCTCACTGTCTCTTGTCCCACAATTTCCTTGGAATCTCCTCTATTGATATTCGTTTCAATGTGGCCAGCATAATGTAGTCTACCCAATCTTACATCCGTCATTAAATCTGCCCTCCAAAGAGCCCATGAACATTTGCATACGTTATCGTTCTCCAATTGTTACCCTTCCTCACAGCTCCAAATATAAGCCGAAGGATTTCCCTTTCAAAAATGAGAAGGGTTCTTCTGTATTTGTTAGAGTCCAGGACTCCGAACTGTAAGTTAAGACAGGCCTGATGAGGTTCCTATATATCTGACAATCAGTAGAATGAGATAATGGTGAACTTCCAAGGTTTCTGCTCAAGCCAAAGTAACATTTGTTGGCATTAACGAGCCGCTGATTAATTTTTACAGAAATTCTGGTTCCCGAAGTTATCATTGATCCCAGATACTTAAATTGAGCCTTATGATAGAAGGTTAATTGACCCATATCTACTGGTTCCCCTCCTGCTGCGTCGGCTGCAGGCAGTGGCGCAGCCAGGAATTTTCTCGGAGGGGAGAGGGGCGCCCCTCTATACTACAAGCTTTCCCCACCTCTATCCGCTCCCCCACCACTACTGATTTTTCCCCCTCCTTAGGTGAGTTTAGCCGCTTAAAAGTCCTCTTTAAATGGTCTTAACAAAAGCAAACTCTATTTTTATTTAAAGTAAATTTTGTCTAGTTTAAAGGGAAGCAATCGTTAATTACTTACATTGAATAATTTTTTTTGTTATCACTTCCTATACAACAAAAAACGTGGCTTACATGAAAAATCACAAAACTTTAATTCCCTACTTTTCTGCTGAAAATATAACCATTGTTTATATAAATGGTTTTGTATTTATTGAGTTCTGTTATCACTCCTTTAAATATTTCCCTCTACTTACGAGACACCCTGTATATGGGTTTAGACATGTAAAAAACTGAATTAGTAACATGGGTCGCTATGTCACTCGCTAGTGCTGGTCACAATAGATTTTTTTTTTTTTTTTTGTCTTACATTGGGAAATTCGTGTATGAGTATGCTATTTTCCCTACATTTCTCTTTTCTTTAAATTGGTATTTTTGTCACTCTTTCCCCCATCCACGGGGAGAAGGGGGAGGGGGAGCGCCTCCTGGCAGAATTCGCCAGTGCTGGTCACGATAATAATTTTTTTAAATAATTCATTAGGATATTCATCGTCTATGAGGATGAATTTTCGCTATATTTCCCTTTTCTTTAAATAGCTGCTTTTTGGAATTTTTACTTTCCTACCTATACTAGGTAAGGAAAGTATTGCAATCGGGTCAAATTTCCAACATGAGGCTTTCGACGGATCTAGTCCCCTTTTCAGAGCCCTCTGAGTCCGAAAAACACATTTTTAGCCATTGGTCTGTCTGTCTGTGCCAAGATTTTCTTGGGAACTACTGAACCGCTTTTGTTGCTTATTTTTTTTATTTTGTAGAGTTTAGACTACTGATGCCTGTGACAAAAATTCGGTGCTCCATGCGCAATAGCTTGCATGCAATAAATGAAAAAAATGTTTTTCTATTGATAGCAGCGCAAAAACGGCTCTAACGATTTTGATGAAACTTTCCTGTAATATTCTAATCATTGTTCTTTCAATTTTCGTATATAGACTAAATTCTCGAAAAAATTCAGGAAAAAAAGTTATTAAGACAGAAAAATGTTATGGGGCCTTACTTCCTAAGTATATATTATACGGTAAAATTTATAATAAAACTTTTGAAAGGTAATTAACTTACCAACAAAATAAAAAAAAATCATCGGAATCGAACCAGTATTAGCGATGGTACAGCATATTATATTGTATATTACACATTTACAGCATATTATATTATATATTACACATTTTTTTAACTTATTACTTTTCTACCTATACTAGGTAAGAAAAGTATTGCAATCGGATCAAATTTCTGACATGTGGCTTTCGACTGATCTATCCGTTTCAGAGCCCCCTAAGTCACATTTTCAGGAAAATGTACCTAGTTCAATTATTTTGGTTTCTTCATGAACATATGTAAAGATATAAAAACTTTTCTTAAATAGGTAGGAAAGTCGTGTGAGTGGACACACCAGATATTTTTTCCTGCTTCCAGGGGAGAAGAAGGGCCCCTCCCCCCCCCCCGGCTGCATCCGCTTGTGGCTCCAGGACCTGCTTGCAAATACTTGTTTAACAATCATTCCCATTTCTTTTGCAGCCTCAGCCAACTTAAGAAACTCGCGTTGGAATGACTTGAGTGATCCTGCAATGAGATTCAGACTATCTGCAAAGCCATATGCATAAACTGAATAGTTAAAAATGGTGTCTGCTGTATGTATTCCCGAGTTACGTATGACCTTTTCCAAAGCTAAATTAAATAGCAGACGTGCGAGCCCATCGCCCTGATTGACATCTCGATGTGTCAAAGACATCTTAACTTGAAATCACTCCCAGAACTGACCGCGTGCAAACAGTCTGAAAGGGACTTGAGAGAGTTGGTCCCCAAGAGTGAACTCGGACGAATTATACTCTTGTATATGATATAAGAAGTTATAATGGTACATTTCATGAAAATAATTTTCACTAGTTTGCTTCAACAACTTGCCAGAACTATTTACTTTTGTATCCAAACAAGCATCAAAATAATGTTATAAAATTGTAATCATCTATGATTAATTTTAGGATGAAATGTTCAAAATGTCAGATCTTTCATTAGCTTCAAGCAGAAATCAAGGGATTAAATTGTCATCAATGAAATATGAAATGAATATCAAAAGTTCGAAACAATCTATAATGCATATATCCAATCAGTCACATTTGCAAAATAACAAGGTGAGTATATTATGGCGTTAGTGAATAAACAATATATCGATAAAACTAATAAATGTTAAATCTCATCGTAAACAAATATTTAATATTAGATAATTGTGTTTTCAGAGCATAGTTCCATTTTCATTTCAAGCTAAGCGTACTAAGGGCGACAGATTACTTGTGAACAAAAAAAAACCCAGACAACCCTTCCCTGGCAAGTTAAGTTTTAAAAGATAAAAAAAATAATACACACTATATTAAATCTATTTTTTATTCTAGGAGATCTGTCCTTCAATTTTGGCATAGAAAAAGAACCATTGGGAGAATCATCTCAATGTTTGATTTCATTCAGGTAATTTGAAAGCATTGTATATCACCTAGTACCGTTTGTCCGATTTTCAAGAAATTTCAGAGATTGTGCTTGGATAATCAGAACTGTGACTCAAAAAATTGGGAAGGTTTACTATATATAGTTAAACTCGATATTTATGGATATTGTCTGAAGAAACACATCAATTGCTTTTCATCTCGAGCGACGTCTAACCCAAGAAGAGAGTGATGTTTATTCTACCACCCAAGAGTCCAACTAGTAATGACGAACCAAGAAGTAATCTCCCAGAAAAGTTCTCCAGCCAGGACCAAGTCCAAGACAATCAGCACTCCCCCAGCAACAAGAGCAACATTTTTTTTTTATTAGATAACCCCCAACTCACCATTTCTGGCATACGGGGAGAGGGTTGTTCTAGAGGTACAGCCAAGCTTATTTTAACCAGAGAGAGAGAGAGTCGAGTTTCGTTCCGTGGGTCCGTCACGAAATAAAAGTCAACCACTCCCAAGCCGGATTCGAACCGGCGTCGTTAGGCACGAGAATGTTAAAACGGGCAAGGCTCCAACACAATCGGCCACTACGACCTCTCAACAAGAGCAGCCTTGAGTCAGTGGCGGAAGCAGAAATTTTCTCAGGGAGGAGGCGCACATCTGTATCACGTGCTTCCCCCACCCCTATCCGTTCCTCCACCACTACTGCCCATCTCCCCACACTCCTTAGCTCAGTTTAACCGTTCCAAAGCCCTCTTCTAACAGCTTTAACAAAAGCAAACTCCAATTTCATTTAAAGTAAATTTTGTCTAGTTTACAGCGAAGCAATCGTTAACTAATTAAATTAAATAGTTTTTTAGTTATCATTTCCTACAAAAAAAGGGGTCTAACTTAAAAATTACAAAACTTTAATTTCGTACTTTCTTGCTGAAAATCAAACTACTGGTTTAATATAAACGTTTTTTGTATTTCTTGAACTCTGCTATCATTCCTTTAAATATATTCCGCTACTTACGTGACATCCTGTATATGGGTTTAGTCATGGGGAAACAAAATTTCTAACCTCCTATAAATGGCCCTGCAGCTTGGAAATGGAAGCTCTCTCTAAAAAAAAAAAAAAAAACTAATAATAATTTCCGATTCCGATCAAAATCAGATTCGAATCAAATCAAAGACCAAATAATCAGCACTTTCCTTCATGAAAACGTCCCCAACAGCAACTATTTTAAGAAAAGAACAACACTTTCTAATGAGATATATACAAATTATTATCGTGATCAGTTTTATAAATCGCATGGATTCTGCAAATAGACTATCGTTGCTGGATGTTGCAATGCGTCCAGATCGATTGGAACTGAATAAAAACTGGGTCCGGGAAAAAAAACGTATTTTCTTGTGCTCGAATAAAAAGTTTTTCGAAAGAATAAATGACGTTCATTTCTTATTTAATTAATTTTCCTCCATCATGTATTTCATCTTCGAGACTCAGTAGGAACAACTGCGACAGGAGCACAAGCCTTCCCAGCTCAAGGCGTCACAAAACCTACATCAATCAATTCACCCTACGAGCCAACTATTGCTCTTCCATTCTAGATAGATAGATAGATAGATAGATAGAAAAATAATTTTATTCTGGGACACAGTCCCTTGAGAATAACAAAACAGAACAAAATTAAAAGATCACATCTGGCCAAAATAAAATCAATCGAAAAAAAGAAATAATGTAAAAAAAATATAAGGTAAACATTCTATATAAAAAAAAACGAAACTATATACAAAACAATTATTACTATGACAAGGCACTTAAAGCTATTTGCACTAGTATACACTTTTAAGAAAATAATAAAGAATTAAAAAATAAAAATGTATCAATGAATCAATCAATGAATTTGTATGTATCAAATTCTCTATTAAAATCAGCTCGAATGGTTAGCAACTATCTGACTGTTCTTGGGATAGGAATTGGAATAGGAGGATTTTAAATTTGGATATGGATGGGGAATGTCGAATTTTGATAGGGAGGGAATTCCAGAAATTGACAGAGCGAACAACAAAGGAATTTTGGAATGAGGCAGATCTGTGAGAAGGCATGTAAAGATTAGAAGGTCGAGATCTTGTGGACAGGGAATGGACTGAGGATTTGAACTGGAGAAGATTGTAGGCGTAAGAAGGACGATGACTGTTGATGATTTGGTAGAGGAACGTACCTAGGAAATATTGTCTTCGGAAGGAGGGGAAAAGCCACTTTAACTCAGCATAGTGGAGAGAAACATGGGAGTATCTTGGGGCCCCGATCACAAATCTTACACAGCTGTTCATTAGTCTTTTCAATCTATCACGGAGCTCCACAGAGAGGCCATCATACACCACACAGCTATAGTCAAAGTGGAGGAAAATGAGAGAGGAAACTAGGAGTCTACGCGTATGTTGAGGTAGGAGATGGCGGAAGCGATGGAATAGTTTGAGGGTGGAAATTGTCCGTCGAGAGATATGAGAAATATGGTGATTCCAAAGGAGGTTTTGATCAATGAAAAATCCTAAGTTTTTAACAGAGGAGTAGAAGGAGATTGGCTGGTCATTAAGATGAAGGATGGGAAAGTCTGGATGGGATCTAAGAAGGGGCTTATGTTATGTGTTACCTTCCTAGTTTGTTCAGTTATTATAATAACGATTTTAAAGTCTAATGGTGTTTTGTTTTCTTCAATAAATTAGTTTATAAGTTTACTGATTAATCACCAATCTGGACGTAACATAATTCATTACACATTACTAAATTGGTTTGTTACAGTTAATAAATATAATGGTTTGTTTCAGAAAAAGGAGTAATCCAGAATTTTCATATCCTATTCTTACAAAGTTAGGAACTCTTGATAGTAGACATAATCTGAATACAGAACAGAATGCTGAAGTATATTCTAATAATGGAAATGAAACAGCTTTAAATGATCAAACAGAAAATAATAAACAACCAATTGAACAATCCAATAATGGCAGAATTTCATTATTAAGTTCAAAAACAATTAATTCATTAAACAATTCACAACAGTTATATCAAGTTGAAGAAGAAATCATTGATATGATTCCCAAAAAAATTGAAACTGAAACAATGGAAGAACAAAGTAATGTGATTCTTCTTAATAAACAAGGAAGTTCAGTGGGTACATTTAAGGAAGATATGACAGAGTTAAGAAATAAATCATTATGTGATATTTATTTTCAATATGATATGGACAATGAAAAAACCCTTAAAAATGATACTGATGTCAGAAAAAATGAATATATTATAGAAGATATAATCTCTGAAGTAAATAACAACAATACAGAAGTAGTAATTGATATTTCAGATGAGAATGCGCAACAAAGGGATGATTGTTTTAAAGAGAAACCTGACGTAGAACCTTTTTAACATTATAAATTCAGAAAACTATGAAAACCTATTAATTGGACTTAAACATGTTCATGTAATGAATTAAGGTCTACCTAATTATTAATTAATGTTAATCATTAATTATTAATTAATGTTAGGTTAATAAAAAATGAAGTCAATATCAATAATCAGTTAATTTTTTTAAAAATTATTATTATGATTATCCTTTAGTATATACTGGACTCCTATACGTCTGCATTTTTTTCTCATTGTTTAGAATTGATTAAGAACAATTTATTTTCATTAATCAAGTAGTCCTGATAAATACAATTATGTTTTATTTTGCTTGAAATCTCATGTTTTTTAACTCATTTGCAGTTTTTGCATGTTTTATGTTTTCTCTCCAAAAAGTAGCTCTAAGATCTAAACCTAACTTACTGAACGCAGTTCAGGTATGAAAAAATAAAAATAATTCAAGAAAAAAATTTTCAATCATTTTCAAATTTCGATTTTCAATTTCAAATTTGTCATCATTAGTTCTATCATCACTTCAACAAATTATAATCAAAACCTTTCAAAACATTTTTATGAAAATGTTAAGTAAAAATTTTTTAGACAAACCTACACAATTCTTATAGGGAGACTGGGCTGTACCAAGTCATGTTCTCTAAAACGCTTTTGTCTTTTATTTTGTTTGAAATAGTTTAAAAAGTTTTGTTTTATTATCCTGCTGCATATTGAAACCAGAGGCTATTAAACGGAGATCAGAAGGGATTGCATGTCCTTTAAAAAAGTCTTTGTACCTCTCTTTATGGAATATTTCTGTAATTTGAACTAGTTCTCCTTGATCAAAGCCTGAAAAACACAAATTCTGAACTTCCACAATGCTTTACTGTTGGAATTATGCACTGAGGAATAAACTTCTCTGACGATTTGTGGCGAACCATGCCTGAAATATCCACCTGAAACCTAGATTCATCTGTCCTAAGGACTTTCCACCAATCCTCCACTGTTAAATCCTTATGAGAAAGTGCCCACTGACACACTTTCTTATTGTTAGGAGGTCTTAAAAGTTGTTCCGAAGTATCAACAAGTCCCAATAAGTTGGTTTCCTTTCTACCGTTGAATGAGAGACCGACTTTTTCGTGGAAGTGTTAAGCTCAGCTCGATTCTGAGGACCTGTGGGTATTCCTTTTGCTTTTTAAAATAATAAATTGATCCTCTTGCTTTGAAGTTATTCGTGGCCTTCTTGATCGAGATTTGAATGAATGCTAAATAAATATCGGACAGAAGCACCTCTTAATCTCATCCAGAAGAATTGCCTGTTAGTAAATAAAACAAAAAAAAAATATTCTTATAGCTAATGTTTTTAATATTAGAATTTTGTCATCAGAATTAGTCACATAATGTCACTTTCGGTTTAATTACAATTTTAGTCTTTTCATGCCATTGGATGAGGATGTGATTAAAACTAGATCGTATGCAAATGCCAGGCAGTTTACCATTGTTCCTCCCATATTGTAGCCTATTCCATTTGGAAGGGAATGGATTATCCCATCCATTGCCATGTTAAAGAGATTAGGGGACAATGGGTCACCCTTCCTTATACCTCTTCCGCATACAATAGAATCCGTCTGCTGTTTATTACCTGTAATGCGGGCGTAACATATAATAACTATATAGCCCCTTCAAGTAACCAATAAGTCCAGCTGGCATACCCTTCCATTTCAAGATTTTGTAAAGTGCATTGTGGCTCACATTATCAAAAGCCTTGGCAATATCCATAAAAGTTACATGGATTGCATTTTTTCTCCTTTTAGAATATATTTTCTGCAGTGCCATCAGAAGCAATAAACGCTCTCTGGTTTACAAGGTGCAAATCCATTTCGTTTAGACGAGTTGCAATTATCTTGTGCAGTTGTCTAAGAGGGACTGAAGCAACAGTGATGGGTCTATATTCACTCGAACCAGCGGGATCATCAGTTTCCGGAATGAATATAGTCCGGGCCGCAGTTAATTTTGTAAGTGGGGTGGATTGGACAGATATATATTATAAAAGATGGCTCTATCTAAGGAGCAATATATTCATATATATTCTACCCACTGCTTAACTAATACCATCTGGTCCCGTTGAAGATTTCTTGTCCATAGCACTTAATTTGATTTCATCAACTGTAACTGGCAGCCATAATGTAAACAATTTCTGGTAAGGAATTGGCGTATCCGGCACGCTGGGACACGATCTCCATCAGCGGCCTCCAGAAAGATTCTAGTTGCTCAATGTTGTGCTTGTTACGAGCTGTGGTAGCAATGAACACTTCGCGAACCGCTTTATTCTTCCTATCTGTTGTCCATAATCTTTGAATCCTCTTGAACTGCTCCCTTCTTCTAACAGCAGAATTAGCGGGCAATAATCTTTTACCAGATTCATTTGAAATGGTGCTTTTAACGTTCAGCAATGATTCGAGCAATGCGTTAAGATATTCCGAAATTTCTTCTTCTGCAATCTTCAAAAGTGAAACCAACATTGAGTTAGGATCAGTTATCTCCTGGCATAACTCTCTGGCTGCTTTCAGAAATTCTCGCTTATTTGTGGTACCATTATTTATGGCAACAGCTGGGTTAGAATCTGCGGTTTGATCGTTTCGTCTTTCTTTCCTTTGTTGTTGGTATTGTTCTTTTGTTCTCGCCCTCCTTATACTCCATATAGACCTACCTGGTAGCATACCGACCAAGTCCTGAATCCTTACATTTCCTCTCTGAGCCATAAGTGATGCTTCATTCATAGCTAGTAATTGAAGCTCCTCTTTAGCCCAACGTTCCTTTTTTCGATCCGTGTTAATATTATCATAGAAAAACTCCGGGTGAGCACGCTTGATGTGAAGACTCATATCCGAACGAAAGCCAAACCCTCCGTCGCAGTTGGGACATTCATTAACGTTGTCGTCCATAGTCAGTGAGATTCATGAACCATTTAATTGCCTCACTCCGACTTGGGCATCGAATAAAAGACGATCTATGTTTTAGCTGACAATTTTCTCATTTCGGTGGCTGGTCTAAACTTGGACAATCCCCTACTTTATGTCCTTGAGCACCACAGTGACAGCACCGTTCCTCGTGCTTACACTTAGACTGCACTTGCCCAAATCTTTGACAACGAAAGCACCTTGTCACATCTTTAAAATCCTCAACTTTACAAATATCCAAATTTAAGTATAAGTGTCCTCTGGATACGAACATATTTCTTAAGCGTGGGCTGGCTTCGAGAACCATGTTGACTCTCGGTTCCGATCTCCTACTAGTGTAAAATGCTAGTAATCTAATACAGTTGTTTATATTGTTCTTCGCAAATAGCTTGCACTCTTCAGGATGGTCTAGTTCAATTTCTTCGTTTAGAGCCAAGATACATTCGATCAGCCCCTCGATTGTAAATTCTGCGTCTTCTACTTTCCTGGATATGGAGTAATAGAAATAGCATTGGACATCCGAAAATCGTTTATTAGTGGTATTTCGGTGGGAGTATAATTGTTTGTATTATTGCTATCGTAATTTAAAATGAGTCCATCAATTGAATCGTTTGGGCTGTTACTAATTTCATTCTTACTTATTGCGTTTTCATTACCTAATATTTTTCTAGTGTTTCTGTAAATTTTATTATTTGTTTTAATAACATCTGATAAATTTTCTTCTAAACTTACAGCATTTAAGGTGTCATTTTCTGAAACACATTTGATTTGATTTTTAAGCCCTTCCAACTCACCCATTTTTAAGGTACATGCCAAGCTTAAATGGGAAACTATTAAAGACAAGGCATACAGACACGCTGTGATTTCCTTTACCGCCCCAGGTTTAATACCATTGGTATTCATTTTCAAAACTGCTCTAATCTCCCTCTCATAATTAAAATCTTGACTGGGTAAAGAATAATAGACCAGTTACTTGAGGATCGGAACGGAAAACTCATTGTATGTGGGAAAGGTTTATATTTTTTAACTTGTTTATAAGGGTTCAGATATGTGAAAAATAGGGTAATGAGATATAAAAAACAAAACAAATTTCATGAAGAAATAACGAATCGCAATTAGAGAAATATAATTGATCTATATTAAACCTGTTAGTACTCAGAGAACTCATTCCCAAGCTGCGGCGCCATTTATAGTAATTTGTCTGTTCTTTTGGTACGAATTTGGTAAAAATCGGCGTTTGTTAACCACGGAACATACCACCAACTATAGGTTAAAAAAAACAAAAGAAGATAGAAATAATCTGGCTTTTTTGGCTATAAAAAGTTTTTGCTTGGTGGTCCGCGTCAGCAATTTTGCTTTCACATGTCTCACCCAATACAAGTTAAAAAATAAAAACGTTTCTCACATTTTTAACTATGAATTTCCCGTTTCGACTCTCAAGTTACTGGTCCAATTTCATTAAATCAGCCACCATTTTTTCAGGAAGTAAGACAAGCTCTCATTTTTTAAATAAAGATGTTTCAAATATTCAAAAATGGGTTTTAAAATTGTCATCAAATAATGTAGATTTTTTATCATGGGCTCTCGGACTATTTGGGTTGCTAGCAAGTGTATTGCTGATGTTCATCATCCTGTCATCACCTAAACACTCAGCAGTTGACAGCATTGCTTTGGATACATCAACGTCCAATAAAAAATTCAGTAGCTCATAAGCAAACCATTTCCCGTTTTTGCTAGGAGATGAGCCATTCTTTTCTTGCTGAAGTTTTCTGCGCTTGCGATGAAATGCTGACTAATTCTTAATTAATTTCTACCTCTATCACCTTACAATTATATTTTCCTATTTAATTAAATTAACGAATAAATAAACCAATTATTTTTACCTGCATCACCGTACAATAATTATGTTTATCCGGCAATTTTTTCAATTTATCATATGAGAAGGAGTTAGTCAATTTATCGTTTTTAATTATTATATCTTTGTATTTGGCGATTTTACCATTCCTTAATTCTGCAGAGTTGTGGTAATCGTCAATAAAAGACATGTTTTTTTCGTTTATCCACTTCATGTCGACGACAACAAGCCGGACCGTTCCGTGGGTTGTTGGATAGACGGCGACACAGTCCAACGTGTTGAATCAAGTGGAGAGATGACGCATTCGACAAGCAACAACAGTCAAGTTGTAGCATGCGGCAAGAAAACATATTTTTTGTTGCTTTGTGTTTCTTCTATGGAAACACTGTAGCATGCGTCAATGCCACATGCTGCATGTTGCCTCAGTTGAATTCCGCCTTATCTTTCAAGTTCACTGTCATGGCGCTTCGTATTACGTTGAGACAATCTTGAGTTCGTACCTAAGACAGTGTATATATATTTTTTGTCTCACTGGTTTTATTTATTTATTCATCATTTTATTACTTTCACTTACGTATATATGAAATATATAGTAAGGGTAAGTAAAGCGATTGTGAAAGTTTTTTAATCTGAGATTTCAACGGAAATACACGTTTTGGGGTACCCTGAATCCAAATAACCAAGTCCCGAAAAATGGTCTGAGTCTGTGTGTTTGTATGCTAGCAATCTCGCTGAAAAACGAAAAATCTTACGAAACTGATATTACGTATTTAAGATAGATATATGCCTTAGATGTGACAGCAACATTTTCTCTAAAATCGGCTAGCCGGAAGTGCCACTTTATATCAACGGTGAAACACATTTTCATGATTTTATCAATAAAATGATTCATGATTTTGAATAAACTCGGTTTATCATTGTATAATGAAGTGGTCTTTAATATCAATCAGGTCTTATCCCCATTGATGTCACTTTACAGGGCTTAAATGCCCAATGTTCATATACGTCTTCCTCTAAAGTACCTTTAATATGCTTTATTTTAAATAGTTAATTATCTCACATTATTAAAAGTTACGAAAAAATGCTAAATATAACTTTTGAAAGAATTTGATAATTAAATAAAGAAGAAAAAAATAAAAATGCTTATCCAGGTCGAAAATGAATCTTCCGGAATGCTAGTCATAAGGTATACGTATAATATATTGTTGGAAAGTGATAATTTTAGAAAAAAAAATCTAATCTAATATTATAAATAATAATTTTTTAAAACTAATACTATTTAACGTAAATCACATGTTTTCAAGGAAATTAAATGAAATTTTCTTACTATGTGTGAACTTTTAAATGTTTTTCTAAAATTGATTTAAAATCCACCGAATCAAGCCAATGCTATTGTTTAAAATACTATTCCATCGCACTATTCTGTGAAAGAAGAACTGAAATATAAATATATTTCATTGGTGTTTATAACATCAAATATATTTACTATAGAGTATTAACTCTAGATAAGATATTATATTTAAATAATTAGGTATCTATCGGCCGTTTATTACAAAAATCATTAAATTAGTGAATAATTTGATGAATTTTCCCTTTGTGAAATCCCAACATTATCCACTTACAATTAATGAAACAACTTTTGACCTATCCATGGCAAGGCAATGAGAATCTCGTCATTTTGTTTTAGTAAACTTTACAATGGAAAATAACTGCTTAATAACTAATGGTTAATGTTGCCCAAATGCGAGACCGAGATGAGTCTTGGTCTTGCAAACTCAGTCTTGGTCATGCACAAGACTCTCGTAACAGTCTTGCAGTTACCTATTAGTTTATTACTAGAGAGATATTACTGTAATTTTTTAGATATGAGAAACCTAACCACCGTTGTGTCGTTTATTAAAGCAGATGGAGTGACTAATTTTTTATTACCTATCGTCGATATAATAAATAGACTTTTAGTAATTATAATGGTCTTAATGACTTATTATCTGTAAGCTTTAAGCTTTAGCTCCGTTTAAAATGCACTTCAGAAAATTTTTAATAGCCCAGCATTGCCAGAAAATAATTTCTATTCAAAGTAGAGCGGTAAGTGAAAGTTGTATGTTGCATGCACCAATTTTTTTTTAAATTTTTACTGGCGGCTCTTTTATTTTATTTATTTATTGAAAATATTTTATTTAATATTTGTTTATAGATTTGTAAATATACTAGTTATTAAATATTTATTTTGTAAATTTTCTCATTATTGATACTTTTTTTTTATCACTTCTATTTTGTATATATTATTTAGAGGTATGGAACCAGATAAGAACATTTCTTTTGACGAATCAGATGAAGGGACTACGAAATCAGGGAGACTAATTCTCAATATTTTACAAGGCGAACTCTCCAAAAAAGCCACAGAAACCCTTAGATCAGCGGGCAACTCACCTAAAAAACAAATCCGCTAAATTAAAGCAGCCCAAAATAAACAATCAAAAACTAGCAATAATAATTAGCTATGAAACCTGACACTAAACCACCTACACGCACATCCAGCAACAATTATCTTGCAGCCAATAATAAAAGTAACGAGATCACTGAACCTAGAAATTTCATCGAACCAGAACCAACACCGATATATATGTATATTAGCAAAATTTACAACTTCTGATCGGACAAACTAACTTCCGGTGTTCAATGACATTAAGATTAACAGTAATACCAAAGATGATTATAAAAACGTATTAATTACTTGACAGTAGGAAAGTCTGGCCCATGGGCTACTCTTTTCCACCAAAACTTTCCCCTCCGACATCAGCCCTCCTTCAAAATATTAAAATGAATAAATATTTACTTCACTGACTCATATCAGACAGGTCATTAAAGATAAAAGACAATTGCATATCATCAAATATGAAAAATGATTTAAATGGAATATAAAGTTTCCAAATTTTGAAAATCTGTATCTCGTAAACTATTTGATTTACCGAGCCTGTTTATGTGTAATGATAAATTAAAAAGTTGAAAAAAAAAATACATGTATTTACACATAACCATTCTTTACAAATTTACATTATAAAATACTAATATACAGTAAACTCTGTAAAACAACTGTAAACTTTTGTTATATAAAGATTAATTGTACACCATGTATATCTGGAGAATTAACAATAAAGAATTCTATTTAAAATGGAGCAAAATATTTTAAGAATTTTTAAAATTCAAAAGATCAACAATAAATTTGAATTGATCTCAATAATTAATTGGATTTGTGAATTTTCACTTTTAGGTCTTTTATAGGCTATACAATTTAACTGATTGCAAAACCTTATTTGCAATAATACCATTATTATATTAAATTCTAATTGATATCTCTCTTGTTCAACTTCTAAAGAAGAAACATAATGTATGTACATGTAATATATTTTTGGCTATACTCAAGAGATAAAATTAGATACACCTAGCTTATTAACAATATCTTGTGATACATAGCATTTATTAGTAGAAATTTCAATAAAACTCACAAACTGAATGATTTTAAAAAATAAAATAAAAATAATACAATAATTATCATTCAAAGTAATACTGATTAATGACCTCCATTTATAACTCATAGATGACTATGCTAAGCAATCAAGTCATCAAAGAAATATTAGAAATGGTACCTAAGATCTTGGAAGTACATGCAAGTGAATTATTACTGCATGTAACAGAAATAGTTCAATCTCCGCAAAACAAGTTTTTTTTATTGCTAAATTGTATTTCACAATTCCTCCTCAATCCGTCAATGCTAATAACAAATCATTGAGGGATTGAGCAGAAATTGTAAAATACAATTTAGAAATAAAAAAAAACTTGTTTTGCGGAGATAAAATCATAAAATAATTGTGCACTACTAATAAAAAAACTTGAGAAAATTACATATTTTAAATTTTCATAAATGATAAATTTAAAAATTAATTTGGAAAATTTATAAAAATGTCATGGATAAAATCTGTCAAAAAAGTTTTTCTTCGAAGGTTAGATTTATTTTAATAATGTGAGCATTTAAACTTTAAACAAAATATGAATTTGGAACATGTTTCAAAGGCTAACTTGAATCAAATATCAAATTAATTGTTATTAATATTTTTTTCTTTTTCTTTGAGCTGCTCACTATCTAACCCTTCTAAAATATAAGAAGCTGAAAAAAGCATGAACATTCTTTTACACCAATTTTCAACTGCTTTTTTATAACCATCACACTTATACCTATGAATATTACTTTCTGTAATATTTTTCTTACAAGAACTTGGTCTTTCTACTTCTAATCTTGATAAAATATTCCTAAGTGAACTAACTGTAACAATGTTAGGTGGGTATAACTGAAGCGTATCATCGGAACCATTTTCCTCTCTGAGGGTAGGCAAGTCTTTAATTTTTTTAGCAAATTGTATTGAACCAAACATAAATTCATGTAGGTGTTTTCTATATTCATTAACCCCTACACCATTCACTTTATCAGATAATTTAATATTAAAGTCTTCACAAACTTTTAAGATGGCTTCACTATTGATTTTGAATGTGTTTCCTATGGATTGCCTGCCTTTAAAAACTGATTTTCTACATACAAAATGTCTAATTAATTCCATATCTTCTTTATCTTTGGCAAAATCATTTTCAGAAGAGATGATTTTCAAATTTTTATCACTGGTCTTTATATCCTTACTCAACCTTTTAAGACGATTTTTCTTTGAATATATATTTTTGCGACGTTTTATCTTTCTAAGATCTAAATTTGGATTTTTCAATATGATTTTTTTAAGATTTTCATAGTGTTGTCGAATTTGAGTGCGAGATCTTGACTCAAAATGTTTGGCAATCGTTGCCCATTGCCCTTCACCATATTCTTTAATAAGCTCCACCAGAAGAGCGTCCTCTTCCAGGGTCCAAATACCATACTTCCTATCTTTTACATGAAGATAGTTTATGTATCTCTCCCTTATTTGACAACTGTTTCTGGATTGAAGAAAATGATGAATACGTTGCAGTGGTATACCCTTTTTGACAGCATTTAAAATAAATTGATCTTCTTTTGGATTAAATTTACCTTTCCTCATTTCTTCATCTGATAAACATCTTGTTTTGTACCACTTATTATACAAGGTAATAAAGTCATAATCATCTATAAAATATTTTATTCGAGACCAATTTATAGATTCACCTTGCTTGACCAACCGCAGTACCATTCGAAAGTGTTTCAAGTCTTCTTGGGGCCACTTCTTAGAAATTTTACACAAATGCTGTTGGTAATGACTAAAACATTGATAACCAGTTCTACTAGAACTAAGCTCAAGAGCAATTGTATCCCAATTTTGATAACCAAATGCTTTGGCAGCTTTGAGTAACGCTGCTTCTTCCTTTCTTGTCCATTTATCCTTTCTTATTGATGGTTTTAAATATAAATCCCACATCAATTTGCAGTCACGTCCAGAATGCGAATTATATAAATTGCGTGATATTCTGTCCCAATCTAAAGCATTTTCATCATATTTTTTAAAAATCTCCATCAAATCTGCAGTCCTAATAAATGAAACTTCATTAATAACTTTTATTTTATGATCAGAATCTTGTTCATACTTCACGTTACTATGTTCTTCTAAACTATAAAAATATTCCTGAACAAGAGTGTCCCTTATAGATTGCTCTAAAATATGAAGTTCATCTTCTTCCCAGCTGATTGTTAAATCACTAGCTTCATATAACATTGGTTTGATTCTTTCTTTGGCACTTTGATCTGGATTGACGGGGCATGGGAAACCTTGGTATTTGAAATAAGGAGCAGTGAAACTGCTATAAAATTCTAAATTTAACGATTTTTCAACAGTATTTTTAACAAATGAAGTATCTACATTTCTGTCAAGGTCACGTTTGAGGAGAAGCAACTCACATTCTAATGCCTGTAACTTTTTATTTAGCTGCCTATTCTGTTGCAAAGCAGTTTCAACCATTTTCAATTGAGCATCATAATCAGTCTCTTTTTGTTTTGGTAAACCAATAAGATCTGTGATATCATCACGTTCATTTTTGTTCATGGTCAAATCTTTGATTTTTTCTTCAAGAATGTTTTCTTCTAGAATTATGTCTAAGTCATTTTCATCTTCCTCTGTTTCGTCTGATATTTCTATTTCATCTATCTGTTCTTCTATTCCGCGGACTTCTTCCTCTTCATTGGATTTAACTAAATCCATAAGCATTGAAAAAATGCCAGGCATTTCGGACTTGAGATTCATATTGTAATACTTATTCACTTAAAAAATAATATAAATAAAAAAAAAAGTTCTGTTGTTATTGATGAACGTTAACTCACAATATGAACAAATATATCACACTACACACAAATAATGAACAATTGTATTTATAACATCCTCCCGCTTTTATAACCTACTCTAATATCATCGAACGTACCAAAGAAGTAAGCACAATAAAAACTTACCTTCAGTGTTTAGTGACGGTACTAGTTCACATGAGTTCCGCACGGGTTACACGTGGTTCACAATGATTTTGGTTAAACTTGTTCATGGAATCCCGAAAAGAGCCGAATTCGTTTATGACGGCAACTATTGTCCCCATTTGGTTAAATCAAATTTGACTGTTTTCGGGATTCCATAAACAAGTGTGGCTGAAGTGATTATGAACCACGCGCAACTAGTACCCCCTTCCTTTAAAAACGTTAAAATGAATAAAAATTTACTTCTCTGAATCATATAAGAAAGATTATTGAAGATATAAAGACAATTGCATGTGGCCAAACAAGAAAATAGCCTACAATTATCTAGATCGAAAAATTGTCAAAACTTTGAAAACCTGTATTAGTAAACTATTAAACTTACCGAATCTGTTGTGATTTAAAATTTTGTTATATCTAATCTAGTTTAAAAATATTTAGAATGTTTTTTATCGAAAACGTGCTCCTTCATCGTCAAAAAGGGAAAAAGCTAAAATGTAGCAGTTTGCGAGATTTCAAAAGTGATCCGAGGAAGGGGGAGGTCGAAAACTCGGATTTTCCATCCCATACAAGAAAAAGAAAGAAACCTTCTACCTGCTTTGTTGTAACTTAGACCCCATGACAAGGTTACCTGGGCTATTTCTCAAAGTCAGAGATATTGATCAAGGCAATATCTCCAATGGTATCTCCAGGCTGGAAGGCATCTGCTGTGGCCAAGTACTTAGTTCTCCCTTTGTCCACTTCTGACCCAAGTACTCTGGCTGACTTTATAGCTAAAAATCCAGCTCTGGCTACAACGACCACCCCACTAAATCCACATCATCTGCAAAGTCTACGAACTAGACCATCCGACAGTAAATCGTTCTGTTAGTTTTCAGACTACCGTTCATCACTTCCTACTCATGTGGCAAGTTAAACTGGAAGCATACTGACACATCACCTTGTTCAATGCGAAGTTTTCTCATGAGGAAAACTCTTCTATTCTTTACCCATGAATCTGCAGAATACACTTCACACTACTCATAGTCAGCTTTACCAAGCATTAGCTTATATTGAACCCTAAAGTGGCTTGTAGAGTTCTTCTCGGTTAATGCTGTCATAAACTGGCTTGAAGTTTACCAAAAGATTTCTTCTCATAAGGATTGTTCTGAGACAGAATATTTGGCCTGTCGTTGGAATCAATCTACTCTGCAAAGGTTAGGAGACGCTGTGACAGGATGTTAAATAATATCTTATTTCCACAGGAGGGAAGAGATACCTATAGAAGATCCTGACGGAGGGTACTTCATAGAAATTATGTATTCACAGTAGGAGGCCTCTTATCCAACTCCTTTTTATCCTTCGGGAGGCACCACTGGAATACCAGTTGATTTTTTTATAATTCTACGGATATGCTCATTTAATTTGTCATAAAATTGTCTTTAATTCATAGGAATGTGATTTGTCAAAACGCACGAGTAGGTAAGAAGGGGTCTTCTTTAAAATATAAGATGATGAATTTGTAATCAGGAACTTTCCCAACCTCTTAGATTATAACCTTTTTTATTTCTTGTTCTATAACCTTTGCAACCTTCTGATTCCATGTAGTTAGCTGAATTTGTAGGTTGTGAATTTTAACTGTTATATTAATTTTATAATAATGCATTGGACTTGTTTCCTACGAATTCTTAGTGTACAACCGAAAAATATATTAAATAATGGACTCAATAATTTTTTATCAAAAAGGTAATTTGATCTTCTAGGATTATTTAGTTTAACTTACTAGTTGGAGCACATTGTATTATTACTATTACTTGCTATTAGGAATTGTACATCTCTGATGAAAGCTGTTTTACTAAAGGAATATGGATCACCAGATGTGTTAAAACTTGATCGAGTGCCAATTCCAAACAAAGGAAATTCTGAAGTATGATATAAGTGGTAATTTGAAATTGTATTTACTATTTGAAAAACAAAACAAACAAAAAATCAATTTTCACAAGTACATAATACTATATTAATGGTGTGAAATAGGTATTAGTCAGAGTAAAGGCTGCTGGAATAAATCCTGTGGACTTATATATGAGAGAAGGAGCATTTATGTCACTTCCTCCTCTACCTACAGTTCTTGGCAAAGAAGTATCTGGTATCATTGAAGAAGTTGGCACAGATGTTAAAATTTTTAAGGTGTTTTTCAACTCTATTAATTTTGTTTTTGTCATAATTATTATAAGTATATGACCTTTTTGTACTTTAGATTGGTGACAGAGTTGCTTGCTGCCTACCTAGAAATGGAGGATATGCTGAATATGTTACTTGTCATGAGAAATATCTGATTCCCCTGTCTGATAAATTAACTTTTTCTCAAGGTGCAACTTTGTACGTTGCTTACTTTGTGGCTTACAGAGCCTTGATAACAACGTAAGTATTATAAACATTTTAAAAATAATTTCATTATATTTTTATAGCAATTTTAGTTACATTATTTTTTTTTTACATAGGTCCGTTTTGTATAGTATCAACCCTTTTCAAATCACTCTATTTGAGTTAATTTTGTCGTTCAATAATTATGATTTTTTGATATATTTAGATGTTTTTCTTAATTATTTGATAAATTCAAAACTGTGGATAACATTTTTTTTCTGACCCCATTGTTGTCATTATGACCATTTTAGTTTTACGTTTAGACTGAAAACAATTTTTTATGACTTTGACTCTAGTAATTTTATAAATTCTAAAACTTAATGAAAACTAAAATTATGATAATGATGTGCTCTACATTGTTTATTCTGCAACATATCACATAAGTAGTGAGGAAAGTGATTAGAAAAACAAGAATTTTAGTGCTTTAAATCCCACCGAATCTAGGTTTGAAAAACTATGAGATAGTAATAATCTACCAAACTCACTATCTACTAGTCATAGTTATGGTGCACAATAAGCCCCCTAGGCAGCAGTGTCCAAAAAATCATTAAGTTGTTCTAGAGGTACAGCTATACTTTTTTTAACCAGTATGGAAAAATCAAGGTTCATCAAATAAATTTTAACACACCCAGAGTTTTCATCCATGATTCAAATCTGCGTCACTAGACCTAAGAATATTAAATTTACACTTTAAGACACTTGACCTTCATGACCTAAATTACTCTAACTAAGAATAATTAAATAAATAATGTATTTTTTCTCAAGTATTTAAAACCTTTTTTTGGACGCTGTTTCTACTTGTAACATCATCGTAATCTATTTCGTCTTTTACTGTTTCAGTTGTAATGTATTAAAATTTAATTCTTAACTGCTGAGACAAGTAAGGCATGAAAAGAAATATAAACCTTTCAATTTGTGATAATATATATTAATGAACAGAAAAGCTGTTCCCAAAAAGAACTGATATTGTCCCCAACAAATATCTGTTGAAAGAATTTCCTTGTAAAAAAAAAAAAAAAAAAAAAATGCAGCCATGAAGTGTGTGATAAGAAATAACTGTTCCACAATGGAAGTAACCTCAGCTCTAAAAGTATTTATGGAACAGTTATTATGATTAAACTTGAATCAAAATAATTGGAGCTATTCAAGTATTACAGTCTATTAAAAAAGTTTTTTCAGCTTTTGCATAGAGACATTGAGTTGAAATCCTGCTAATAAATAACTACATATATATATATATATATATATATATATATATATATATTGGCACAAAGGGCTCTAAGGCTATTTAGAGCTCTTGAAAACTACATATTAAAAATTGACCCATTTACAATATTTTCCTTATTTAGTAATGGTTGGAGAAAAATTACCAAATGTTCAAATATTAATTAATACAATTTAGTACTATGGGTTAAGTGAAAATAATTACAGGATAATGGATGATGTATTTACCTTGAATAAGGTTTTATAATTGAATAATGTAGATTGGTTACCTTTGGTTATACAAGAGTAATTTTCTAACACATGTGAAGAAAATAAATTTCTTTTGGTTAAGTAGAATATTTAAAAAAAAAATGATATCTATTCTTGTTTAGGAAAAAAAAATGATAAAGTAATTTAAATGAGCAATTACTGTACACTTTTAACAATAGACTCACAGCAGCTACCAGTTTGCTTCATCTTCCTTATGTATGCTAAAGATTGCAAAGCCACAAATTTACTATTGTAATATATCGACAGCCACACTGTGAAAGCCTGTAAGAACAAAAACTAAAATTTTTCAAAAGGCAAAAAGAACTGCTTAATTTTTGCTCTATGTGTATTATATTTTCGATTAAATTTTTTTTGCAGTCCTAACACAAAGATGTAATGCTCTGTATAGCTTTTTTGATCGTATTTCTGCCATATAATCTTTTAGAGCCATTTCTTCTAACTTATAGCTTTTTATTTACTTTGAAAAACAGGTATTAATTAGGTAAAAGCAATCAGATATATTGTAGTAACACACACAACTTTATTAATTATGATCAAAGCAGGGCAGGAACAAAGCCAGTTTCTAAAATGTAGAGAAACAATATTTCAAATGAAAATTTGTAAAAAATACGACTGAAAAATGAATATTTGATCACACGGGTTATTCACTTTTTTGTCTCCCAATGTAGGGACGTCTTGAATGGACTGCATACTCCCCATTTTGAAGAAGTCTATGAAAGTTTTGTTTTTAACACACTCAACTTCATATGGACATGGTTTGATTCTTGAATTCTTGGTATGTTTTAGGTAACTTGCTAATTTGTAGATAACTTTGTTTCTGAGCTTCTTGCGATTTTGAAGATTCATTCATTTGAAAAGATGAAACTAGAGTTCTTTTTTCGTCTCATGTTAAACTTTCTAATTAATAAAATCAATTCTCTGTCTCTTACTATCTGGAATTCTGCGGCATAGTACTTTTTTTCTAATCAAGCTCATTTTGCAGTTGTCAGGAGGTTTCGATTGTTTTGAAGGCTGTCCAATATTATATTTCCACTTTCCACTCTCTTCTTTGCTTCGTCTAGTACAAGTAGTGTCGCCCTCAGAGCAGAGGAACCCGGACATTTGTCCAGAGGCAAATGTCCGGGGACCAGGCTGATTGGTAGTCAATCAAGCCGACCAAAAAAGAAGATGAAAAAAAATTAATTTTAGGCTATTACTAAATCTAGTTGATATTGTAATTCGCAAAACGCTTTATACATTCTATATTTACATAACCATCTTTCATTGAGCATTTCACTATGTTTTTTCCATAATGACACAACTGTATATCCTTCATTGTAGCTTACAGTTGTTTACATCACTATTTGCTGGTTTTTAAGTTACAGGTTTTATAAAAGGCCGCAGAGAAGAAATGAAACAATTTAAATTTCATTTTGTGGGATCAGAATATGCGCCAGCACAAGATTGACCAAAAAAGCTCAAAACCTCATTTACCAAATAAATTGTCCTTACAGGCTTTTGCAGTATGGCTGTCGATGTATTAATTGTTATATTTACAATGTTTAATATGTATTTTTTTATGAATTATCAAGATGGTATGTGTTATAAACCAGTTTCAATTAGTGTATATTAACACAGTTGGCTGTGCATTAAAATTGTACATTAAAATATAATAAAAAATATTAAATGAAATTTCAGGTGTAGGATAAAAAATAATGAACATTTATTAGTTCATGGAGGTAGTGGTGGTGTTGGTATTGCAGCAATACAGATAGCCAAATCAAAAGGTATATACTTTAGTATATAAATATTAATTCATTGAATATATATGTTGAATTTTTAATAATAATAATAATAATATTTTAAGTATGAAGCATTATATAATGGAATAGAGAAACTTTATGAACATAAATGGTTTCAGAAACTTGAACTTGTTTTTACTTTTCTGTAGCCACCATCAATATCTATACATTTTTTAAGTTGTAACACCAGTTTAAGGATATCTTCTTTCTCTTTTTTCCAACTGCCAAACCAGTCATTCACAGTTTCATTCCAGATGTGATCACTTTTCAACCAGAAGTTGACTAAAGGACTTGACACAATCTTATTCAGAGTGCTCCAAAAATGACAAAGAATATGCTAAAATAAAGTGAAGTTTTTCACTAAAAATTTGATAAAGTGCTGATCTTAAAACTTGTGGTCACAATAGTCATGAGTCTGTTTTGTTGAATTTTGTCATCAATGTTTTATGCTAAGATTGACAGTAGGCCGCCCAGATCGTTGTTAATCATGAACATTTCCTTCCTTCATCTGAATTCAGTTTAATCATATTAGTAAACAGATAGTCTATAGAGTGAGGGAGACTAGAAGTAGAAAGAAAAGATACAAAGTTCAAAGCTGTTCTTCTGAAAAACAACCAATTTTTGATCTGGATAAATGTTGCCCCTGAATATGTTTAACTATAAAAAATGACCAACCCATTTTATATAGTGACAAAGAGAGAACAAAAAAAAAGAGGTAAATTGTACTTTAAATAATAGTAGGTTAAAATAAGGAAACTTAATACTTAATCTTTGAATTAATGTAAAGGTTCTGACAGTAATGAATGAACATGGTTCTGATGATGGGAAATCATTTCCCGAAATGTTAATAATATTATAAAATGTGGCCAATAAAAAAATATAAAAGTTACAAGAAAGTTATAATTCTCTAATTCACCTGTGTAATTAAAAATTTCTCAAAAGAAGAAATCAGAAAAATTATATACTTACTTTTGAAGATGAAATGAGTAGAGCAGCATTCTTTATTTAAGGGCAAACATTACTGACTTATGTAGAACTCATCATGCTGAAATATTCCTCGAAAATCAAGGATTTTGGAATTGTTAGGGATGACTGATGACCATCAACTGAGAAATCATAACTTTTATTCTTGAAAACAATTTTATTTTCTCCTTTTTTTTTTTTGGATAGATTAATGTGATCTGAAATATTAATTTATTTGTGAGAGACAAAAGTAAATGTATGTATTGTTCATTGTGATGTTGCACATTTTATAAAACATTCTTTCTTAGATAGTACTTGAAAAGAATCACATTAATAATATGAACTCTGTCATAGCGTTTACATAATGTGTTATGCTGTTTTTGTATTATTGATGAAAGTGTTTATGTATTTCTTACAACTAACAACAGTTTTTTTGCCATTTTCATATTATTAATGAAAGTTTTTCACCATTTTCTTCCTATTAATGAATGTTTAAGAACCACTTGAATTAGGTTTACTTTGTTGTGAATATGTTAAAGAAGGATCCAGTTCATCCGTTTCCTGTGCTATATATCAATTTCTTATTAAATTGTGATTTTAAGAAAAACATTCAAGTTCCAAATAATATGGGACACTTAATCGTAGTTTTCAAACTAATTATTTTATTTTTGAGCTAACCATACCAATAAATTTAAGTTTAAATTTCACCTTTTAAAATATCAATATTATAACCAATTGTGCTAAAGAATTATAGAATTATAATAAAGATAATTTTGACTGATTGTTTCACCACAGCTGCAAACAAATTTAAATATAGTAGGTCTATATTTAACTTATTTTAATATACTTTCAACCTTGAAGTTGAAACAAACCTTAAGTTTGTTGTTTGTTTGTTAATATTCATTTACTTTTCATATTGTTGTTTTTCTGTTTAATTTATATTTATTTACAGTATGAATGAGCTACTCTATCACAATTGTTAATGCCCATACTAGTGACAGATTGTAATATTAACCAATTTCAAAGAAATGTAAAAAGAAAATTATAAGATTATATATATATATTGATTTTTACTATTGAAGAAAAATTTAATCGCCAAAATGATCTTGTGTACACACACAGCTCTAAGGAAGCCCAGGAAGTCATTGAAATAGTGGAAAGAGGTCAGCGCCCTTCCTCAGTGATGGTTTGGTGGAGAGTTTGCTTTGATTACACCACAAAAGGAGTTTTGTGAAAAAGGAGTTAAAAACCTGCTAAGAACTATCAGGACAATATTTTGGACCCTCTTGTCAAGCCTCTAAATGGTACTCTACTGGAAGTCATTGGGTTTTCCAGCATGATTCCGCTCCAGCTCATAAGGCCAGATCAACTCAGCAGTAGTTGTAAAAGAACATTCCAGAGTTCATTTCTGCATCGGATTAGCCCTCAGGAAGCTCTGATCTCAACCCACTAGATTATCGGCTTTGGTCCGAACTGGAGAGGATGTCATGCCACAGAGCACAACCTTACTTGGAAAGCCTCAAACATTGTCTGGTCTTAGCAGTTGAGCGTTTTCCTCAAGAAGTGCTGCGTGCTGCTATTGATGATTGTCCACGGAGATTAAATGCCTGTGTCAAGGAAAAAGTGGGACATTTTGAGTAATTTCTATTTTTTTTAACTCACTATAGATATACATTTTATTTTCTAATAAAAGTTTTGAAAATTAATTTTTCTGTTGAAATCTGTGTATTTCCTTGTAATAATATTTATGATAGAACTAGGTAGGTTAAAGATACAGATGTACTTTAAAATTTCTTTAGGCATACATAGCTCAGAGACTTGGGTTATGTGGTTTAAAAAAACAGACGGAGTTAGGAGGTTTTTCTTGCCTACCGTCCTGTTAATAAATAGAGTTTATGCTATTTTATCAGCCTTGATGAGTTGTTACATGTTAGCTGCAGCCCAACGTTGCCAGAAAGTAATTTCTATTCAAAGTAGAGGGGTAAGTGAAAGTTTTGTGATGTTCACCAGATTTTCTTTCTTTGTATATATGTAAACCATATAAAATATACCAGTGTTACTTTGTTTACTACATTGTTCAAGTATGATTGCAATAATAATTGAAATTAACATTCCAATGACAAGAACTTCTTTGTATATTATCAAATACCAATGTATTGTACCATGTTATTATTCTTAGGGGACTTAAGCTCCAGAATAAAATCATTTTTTTATTTCATTTCATGAATATACCAATCATTTATGTTGGTGGAATAGTGATGTTTGCATGGAGGATTAAAATATATTGTTTCATTCTATTTAATTGGTAGAAATTCATGGTTTTATATGTACACATGTATTTTCTTTTCAGGATTGAAAGTTAGTGCAACTGCTGGTACAACAAAGGGCATGGAAATGATGAAGGCGGTTGGAGCCGATCAAGTATTTAATCATAAGTAATTAAATTAAATTTTAGGTACAATTATTAGTTAATTAATATACATAAATTAATTGATTATCTATATCATCAGTATTATATTCAATTGCATTCACTTGATTAGTTACATGCCCTCTCTTATTTTAAATTCAAATAATAATAAATTTAGAAGTACGAGAAGGAATAAAACCTGACTTAAAAGATGGCATGAAAAAGAGAGTACATAGTTACCATGAATAGAACTTCAGGTGGCAAGTAAGGCAACAGCCAGGTTGATCTCTTGACACTCTTTACATTAGTTTATTAGTCAATAAGGGAGAACTAAATTGTTTGTGTCTTTCCAATAATTTTCATTGTTCACTATTGTTAATAATAATGAAAAAAGGATGCTTTTAACATCTAAAAAAAATTATAATAATATTGCTTAAATTTTTATATAAAATAAATAGTAATTTAATAATATATACATTAAAGATGTATATAAGTCATAAAATTTCTTTATAAGAAATATATATGCTGGAGATGTGATATTTGCACTGCATTTCACTGGCCAGTGCTTCATAATTTACAGAATCTGATTATGAAATGATAATTTGAAACAATAAAATAAGAGATAGGTATATGAGAGCACATAACTAGTGATTAGATATGTACCCACTTTCTAATGTAGTTTTCATTCTTGTAAAAAAAAAATAATAATAAAAAAAATAAAATAAAATAAAAATAGGCATGATGAAGATTGACAATAAAATTTGGTTAAAGTGCTATTATATCAATAAATGACTATTTTCAAAGAAATAATATTATATTTCCAATAATTACTGATTAGATATTCTATAAAAAAATCATTGAACAGCAATATTACATATTGCAGTTACTGGCTGCCTGTCAGGTGGCACAGGGTTGGTGGGTTGGACAAAGGCATGGAACCCTTGGTCTAAGATGAAGGGATGTATATTTATAAAATTCATAAGACTGAAAAAAGCTTCATCACTGCTCCACGTAAAAATTACTAAGTTCTGATGTTGGTTAAATTGCAGAAACATATTGGAAATATATGATTTTAGGTGGGAAAGCTTGTTTTCGGTCTCATGAATTTGTATGAATAGTCTCTTTATTTCAGGACATATTGTTCTGTAAGAATAATAAAAATGCATGGATCATGTTTGGCTGCATTAATTATAAATTTAATTTAACCACGAATGAGACACTCAATTAAATAAGTAGATATGGACAATTGAATGAGAAAAGTTGTCTACACATTAAGATCATAAACAAACTTTTAACTATTAAGATCACAAAAAAGCAAATAAAACATAAGATGATAGTTTTGTTTGTTGAATTCTGGGTTTTGTCCCTGAATAAATAATTTTTCCCCTACTTATAATAATATTTTCAATTCAAACTCTTTCTCTTAGAATCATAAAATATCAAATTTTATCTGCTCAATTAAATTAATAAATAGATTTTTATACTTTATCATTAAAGTGTATATTCAAATTGATAATTTTCCTGAGTTAGATGTCTGTCTTTGCTTTGAAGGCAAGAAGAGTGGTATGATCCTCCTTGATAGAACCAATGAAGTCAGTTTTTTCTCCAAACGTATCTAATATTCATTATCCAAGTTTGGTAATAAAATATTTTTATTTTATATGTGTAGTATTTCTTAAATTTGTTGAAGAACAACTGAATCTTTTCATTTTTTTTATTCTTAGTTTTTCTGTTATTAGAGTTATTGTCTGGCAGTCTTGCTAACTGACATTTTCCCTGAGGAAATATAGCCACTTCTCCTTGATCAGGGACTTTCATATTAAAACCGGTACACACACAAATATTTTTACAAGAAAAAATTTAATATTAATTATATAAAGAATTAATGTAAGTTAATGTTCATTAAATTTTACTTGATGTCCATATAGTGTTCTATTGAGATATAGTGTTGTGAATCCCACAAAGAACTAGTTGCAATCAGAATAATCTATTAAATGGTTTTTATTTCAATATTGATTAATTGATTTGTATTATGATGTTAATAGAGATAAAGGATATTTGCTTAAGATGTATGCAAGTACGGAAGGGAAAGGATTTGACGTAATCTTGGAAAACTGTGCTGACATAAATTTAGCAAAAGACTTTGATGTTCTGAATGTAAATGGTCGCATAGCAGTAAGTTATTGTATTTTTTATAGTCATAGTAGTTCTAAAAGTTTGAAGTGGTCTTAAATTTCTTATATACTAATTGTTGATGAAACTATGTTGTATTATTGAAGGTTACAGTGCTAATTTTTTCCATTCTCAAAATAAAACAATTATCAATAGGAAAAGACTATAAATATTTTTTTATTTTTTTGAAAAAAATTATTATTGTTATTTTTCCTGTGTGAGATTCATTGTATAATTTGAATGAACATTTCACAAATTATGCTTTTTAATTAATTCCTTGTCCTTTTAATCTCCTGAGAGAACATTTAAGATGTTTCAACTTTATAATCATTATCACTGTAACTATAGAAAATCATTATTGATTATACTAATAGGCCTGTGCGAAAAATTCGCACAGCATATTGTTATCAAATGCCAAATTAATAAGCAAATAAAATAATGCAACGTATCAAAAGAGAAAGAAATCAATTGTTACTTCATCAATAAATATAATCAAAGGAAAAAAAAATGAATATGCTGGAACAAAATATTTCATTCTAATAATTGTTTTTGTTAGCTATTCGTGACGGAAAATCAATAAATGAATTATTTTTCTGCATTTTTAGAAAATTTTCATGATCAGAAGGAGCAATTATGTTATTTTTAAACGATTTAATTTTTATAAAATGCCTCATGTTGTTTTTCATATGATTTCAGGTTGTTGGTACTAGAGGTCAAATACGTCAGGCACCAGACAAACCAAAATTAATATCTGTTAATCCTAGAAGTCTTATTTATACAGAAGGAAAAATTCAAGGCGTTAATTTAGTGAGAATGACTGAGGTATAAATAAAAATTCTTGATATACATTTTTATATTCTTTATGTATACTGGGTGTTATACATTTATGTAGACAGTAAGTATAGGAAAATATTTGTAGGAATGATAGCAGACCTCAATAGCTACAAATAGTTTTTATAAATAATGGCCCAACTCCCAGCAGGAAAGTAGAAAAGTGCATGTTTTAAATTAATTTTAATTCATGTTTTTTGTTGAATAGGAAATGATAACTAAAAAACTATTTAATTCAAGTAGTTAAAAATGATTTCACCTATAATTATAAGTGACGAAATATTTACTAGTACGTTATTTATATTTGTAAGTTCTAGGATCAGAAACATTTAGTTTGTCATTTATAAATACGGATTGATTCTTATCATAGAAATCAGAGCTAAAAACACAGTTTCATAACTACTTTATATGAAAAATCATTATTTTTAATTTTTTTTTTATTAATAAATTATTTATCTAGACAATTATATTTATCATAATCCATCCCAAATCAGAAAAAAAAAACAAGAAATAAAAGCTTTTGCAACAATTTGTTATAGTCATTTTGCTGAAAATATGGGTACATTTAGGTGACAGGATATGAAATCACATAATTATTTTACACAACTTAAGGTAAATCTCAATTTTTTCATTAATAAACCTCACTTTAATTAATATGGACTCGAAGTTTATTAAATGAGAATATTTTTTTTAAAAGTGAGGTATCTGTAGTATAGTTGGAGGATGATAAATAAAAAATTGTGGTAATATCTGATTTTTTAAAAAGCAAACAGCATAGTTTTTCCGCTGAAAAGTCCACTTTAAATGGTTTTATGAAGGACAAACTCTACTTTCATTTGAAGTATATTTTATCTAGTTTACAAGTAGTTTTTAACTACTTAAATTTAATAGTTCTTTAGTTATGACTTCCTATTCAACATAAAACGTAACTTACTTAAAAAATAACAAGAAACTTTAATTTCCCCCTTTTCTGCTGGAAATCGGGTCATTGTTTTCAGAAACTTTTTTGTAGCTCTTGAGGTCTGCTATCACTCCTATAAATATTTTCCTCTACTTACGGGACACCTTGTATATATATTTTTTTCTTATGGTACTCGCTATATATATATATATATATTTATTTATTAATATTATTTCATTAGTTCAGCCTTCACTGAACACAACCATTCTAATACAAAATTAATTTTTGTTGAGTGGATGTATATTTATAAAAGTCAGTCAGTTAATATATTGTTAGAGTAAAAGAAAATTACATTTAGATATGAAGAATAAGAATGTAAAAATATTCCTAAATTGATTTAGAATAATATTTAACTTTCATACAATTAATAAATCATAATTTTAAAAATATTATCCTACTTTACTATAGTCACTAATCAGCCTTGTATAATGAAATTTATACAAAATTACCAATATTCTTAAATTAAATTTGGACAATACATTTACTTTTATAAAATATAAAAACTGGCAGCTATCTATTTATAAAGTTGGGTCCACATATTGCGGTATACCGACAGGTACATCTGCACAGACAAACTGTAAAATATGTAGTCCAGTCTATGATTGATTTTAGAGAGATATAGAAGGAACACAATTTTTGACTTATGGATTTTATTTGGACTATTAAGGAGATGAACATACTAAAAGTCCACATTCTTAGGAGATGTGGGAAATTAGGGGTCATCCAGAAAGTCTATAATTATGTTCCTTCTATTTTGTTCTACACTCCTTTTTTAAGTATTCATTGACCAGACTAATGGACTAGTTACTATCGATGAACCTGCATTTGTTCTCTGCAGTTTCTAAACTTGCCTGTAAAGATAAGTCGTTGAAAAACAATTATTTTTTGTTCCATAGGTGATTGATATATAATCTGATAATCTAGCTGATAATAATAAACCAATCACCATGATGTGTTATTTAATGTCGATGCCATGAACTCTACTGGTGATTGAAATGTATAGTTATGCTTTACTGCGTGGACACTCCTTCCATATAAGTATATGTACAGTATATCTCTCAGTATACTGAAATGTGTCGACCCAGCCTCACAAAATGAAAATATAATAAAAATATTAAACCCTTCTTCTCTGATCATCAATGTATTTTTAACTAACATCTATTTGAACTTTAGGAGGAGTTTAATGAAGCACGTACTTCTGTGGTCAATGGTGTTGAAGAAGGATGGTTAAAACCAGTGATAGGGAAGGAATATGCTCTCAATCAAGCACCCTTAGCGCATAAACAGCTTTTGTCAGAGAATATTGGCTCCCGTGGAAAAATTGTTTTCAATTTACTGCTTTGACATCTTCATTAGATTATTTTTTTAGTTTTTGATGAGTTTTATTTTCACCGTGAACTCGATCGATTAGGTATAATTTCTGTTCCTAAAATTTGTACAGTGTTGACATTTGTTTAGACTATAGATTTAGAACTTACTTCTTACATTTTTATGTAAGTTGTTACTTTATGATATTTAAAATTGAAATTAGCTACTTTATTGTTTTGAATGACTGTTTTTAGTGTACGATAACTTTTTAATTGAATTATTAATTAACTTACTATGAATATCATTACTTTTCAGATTATGAGCTTTGAAATAAAAATTTTATTCTTTGGATATGAATAAGTTAGGTATTCTAAACTAAATAAGGAATATTTTGTTGTTATTGTTTTTTTTTTGTTAATTTTTATCTTTTATTTATGAACTGGATTTACTTTGTTGGTGTATTAAAAAAGTATTTTTAAATTTTGTATTATCTTTAAAATATGTATTAGAGGTACCAATCCTATTTATGTATTATGATTTAAAGCCTAATTATTCTACCATTTACTTTTTGCATTAATGATCAATGTTATTCATTATAATTTCTATACCCTCGAAATCTTCTTATTGATGTTTTTTTAAATGATATCCTTAAATATTGTGTTCTTTAATAAACTGTAGATGGATTGTATTGATTATTGTTAATGATTTGCCATGAATTCAGATGATTTAAAATACATGAACACTAATATATATTTAGTTCCAAATCCACATAAATAGCTCCAAATTGCTTTTCAGTCTTAAACATTATTATCCAAGACAGCCCAGTATTTAAAAAGACAAAGAAAAAAAATATGGCTCATATCCTTAAAGAAAACCTGATTGACAATGAAAAAACTGTGGAAAGAACCTTGAAATTTTTAAAAATAATAAACTTCTATAACAGAGTATAAACAAAAGGTGTCGCCAATGACCCTACTGGGTAATGGCAACAATAAGCACAAATAAATGAATAATTGTTTCAGATAATAATGTATTACTTTTATGTTATTGAATGGAAATTAAATGTATCCATTTAAACTAAATGGAAGAAGTTTTTATAATTTATTTTATATTATTAACACATTCCACATCTACCCAATTGATCATCAGCAGCATTTTTTAAATTTTAAGCTTAATAAAAAAGTTGTATGCAAGTCCAATTTTTAGTTTTTGAGATATTTTAGCGCAATTGCAAAAACAATTCAGTTAGTCGACTGGAACTGACTTTACCCGAGCATGACGGCTTAGTCTCATTCTGTACCCACAAAAAAAGTGCCAAGCATGCCTAACGAAGTTTCCACTCCAAAAATAGTGAGATAATTTTGTTGGATCAATTTGTAATATGGCAAAAAATATTGTGTTTATATTTTCAGTTTAGTCATGTGAGTTGGATGTGTCTGAAATAAGAGGGTGTAAAAAAAAAAAAAAAATGACTGTTTTTCAATCAAATATTTGTATTATTATTTCTTTGATATAAAATACAAAATATTCAAAGTATAGTTCATTGTTATCTACCATCATTAGCCAATTGCTCAAGCCCACGCCGATACCATTCTTTGGGATGGCTGTCAAAGAACTCTTGGGCCGCAATTTAAACTTCCGCAAAATTTTCAATTTTTCCCTTGAAGAAAATGGGCTATGGATCTCAATAAGTAATAATCCAATGGTGGGAGGTCTGGACTATGTGGTGGATGAGGCAGAAATTTGAACCCATGAAGTTCTTCAAACTTTTCTTTGGTTGAACAGGAAGTGTGAGTAGGAGCATTATCTTGTTGGAATAAAATTCCTTTTGGGTTGATCAAATCAGGATAAAGCTCTGACAACTTCGCATAAAATCTTTCCAGTTGTTCCCAGTAGAATTCAGAATTCATAGAGAATCCATCTGGAATAAATTCTTGATGAACAGCAACCAGAAAGGCAGTTTGACCAAGATCTAGCCATTGCTCACAGGTATTCGGATTTTGCCAGTGAACCTACTTTTCATCACAGGTGACAATCTTGCGGTAAAATCTCATATCAGAAGGGTTTTTCAAGAAATGTTAACAAATTTCTAACCTCTCAGCTGATTTCTGAAGAGTAATTTCGTGAGGGATCAGACTGCTCTTTTTCACCTTTCCTTTGGAGAGTAGATGGGAACTAACAGTATCTTTTGACACACCACACTCTCTGGCAATTTCGCGAGTACATGTGGACGGATTTGACTCAACAGCTTCCTGCAGAACCTCATCAGTATCCATCAATGGTTCCCGGGATCCTTCTTTCTTTCCAACGTCGTATCTCCACTGCTAAATTTTTCAAACTAACGCCGCGTTGTGCGCTGGACAAGGACACGTCTCCCTTTATATTTAATAATTTCACGAGTTGCTTCAGCTGCTGTGAAATTTTTTTGTCAGCAATGCCTTAAAATGGCGAGAATTTCGTAGGACACTGTCATGTTTCTTCTTCGAAACAAATAACTAAACTGAAGCTTTTTTTGAAGAAGTCGAATGGGTTTAAATAAGCTTAGAGAATGCTCTAATAAGAATATTAAGTATTAAATGGGATTAAAATATTTACATTTCTTGATTCATTGTCATCGTTCAAAAAATTCAGGAAGTTAACTTCCACTCCTCAAAATTTAAGGTTTTACGTTTCGGGATACGTTTAGCTTGAAAATCGATTATTAAATATTTTATTCGTCCACCGTATGCCGTACGCGACTTTTCTCCGAGACTACTGGACCGATTTTATTGAGATTTGGAATCAAAATCAAATATCACCCGTCGATTATCCTCCCTCCTCGACCTTACTATCCAACTATTCCATTTTAGTAAATGTTGCAATCAGAAATAATAGTTTAATAACTAATAGTCGTACAATTCATAATCAACCATTGATATAATATAAAGGATTTTTGTTATTTTAATGGTATTCATGATTTGTTAGCTGTAAGCTTTAAGCTTTAGTTCCGTTAAAAATGCACTTCAAAAATTTTATAATAGCCCAACATTACCACAAAATAATTTCTATTCAAGTACAGCGGCAAGTGAAAGTTGTGTGTTGCGCGCGCCAGATTTTTTACTTTTACGGCTGTAATTACTCAGTTATATCTCGTGAATGTTTAGAAACAATTTGAGCTCAAAATACTGAGAAAAAAAAATTGTAGTTTAAGTATCTCGATTATAAATTGACTTGAAATGATATCATGTGATCATATGTTATGAAAATGAATTGTTCGTATTTAAAAACTAAAAACGTAAAAAAAAAACTAAAAACGTAAAAGGTCATTTCATTGGAGAACAGCTGTTGATGTTGAATAAGGTGAAAGGTTAATTTAGTATTGTCTTCCAAAAAAAGTGTTAATTAAGTGTAAATACCTAATTTTTGTGTAACAAAAGTGTTTTATCAAGACAAGATTGCTAAGGACAAAACACCAAACAAAGATTGAGCGGATTTCACCGCCAACAATGGTGGAATCATCTCAAACTGAGGTAAGTAACATGAACTTTAAAAACAGTGATATAAACAATGAAGATGGCTCCTGGGAACTGGTTATTGGTCGTAAAAGACCTATGATAGATTCGAGCGAGCCAAGAGCTCAAAAACGACCGACAGAATCTATCCCAACCTCGAACAGTTTTCAGGTTCTAACCAACATCACTAATTTACAAACAGAAGAAGTTAGAAGACCGCCTCAAAACAATAAAACTCCACCAATTTTTATAAACGGTGTTGAAAATTACCATGCATTAATCTCATTTCTAGAAAACGAAACGGGTCCTAATATGTTTAAAACTAAGTCTACATTGAAAGGTGTCACTGTGTACCCAGAAAATCCTGACGTATATCGAAAATTAAATTCTAGCCTGCGAAATAAAGGCGCCGACTTCCATACCTACCAACTTCCACAGGACAAATGCCCAAGGATTGTTGTTAAACATCTTCACCATGGAACACCAATCGATATCATTAAAGAGGAATTTAAAAAATTGGGTTACGAAGCCACCAATGTAGTGAACGTCATATCTAGATTCAAAAAACCCCTACCTATGTTCTTTGTGGACATTACAAAAGAGACGTTTAGAGAAGAAATTTTTAGTATTGAATTTCTTTATTATTCACATATTAAAATTGAAGAACCGCGTCAAAATAGAAATATTCCTCAGTGTGTTCGGTGCCAGCAATATGGGCACACTAAAACTTATTGCAACCATCGACCACGATGCGTAAAGTGCGGTGAATATCATGAAACCAGCTCATGTTTGAAAACGAGAGACACCCCCGCGAAATGCGCCAACTGTGCCGGTCAGCACCCCGCTAATTACAGAGGCTGCCAGACGCTGAAAGATCTCAGGTTTCAGCGCAATGCAAGAAATCGTCTTCAGCGTTCCACAGTAGCAGAGCCAGCGCAGGGACCTCCAGGCATGCATGAATTCCCTCCAATACGGCAACGTCACAACCAAGGGGAACCACAGATCATCGCAGGACCTCCGCAACAACAAAACCAAACATCATCTAGTTCAGCACCCCCTAATCAGAAAACATGTACAGGTACGAGGAGAGGCATTACCCAACCGATACCTCCGGTAGATAATGGCTCTTCTCAATTATTTAATATAATTAATGGATTAAATAACCTAATCCAGCCCCTTTTCATTCTTCTTCAACAACTGTCACAGGTTACACAGGTCTGGTGCCCAAATTATGGCCCACAATAATTTAACTGTAGGCTCCTTGTCAGTTCTTCTATGGAATGCCAACGGACTGAAACATCACAGTACTGAACTCGACTTATACTTGCACGAAAAAAGAATCGACGTAGCACTCATAACAGAAACACACCTGACATCCCGATCAAAAATTTACATCCAGGATTACACAATTTACAGAACTGATCACCCAGATAAAACTGCACATGGAGGAACAGCTATACTCGTCAAAAATTCACTGAAACACAATCCCGTAGACTTACCGATTACACCCGACATACAATCGACAGGAATAACACTATACACTAAACACTACACTATAACATTTGCCTCAGTTTACTGTCCCCCTAAGTACAAGCTTACACCCACGATGTTTTCTGAGTTCTTCAAACGCCTCGGAAGATGCTTCATCGCAGGTGGAGACTATAATGCTAAGCATCAAGGCTGGGGCTCAAGGCTGTGTACTCCAAGAGGCAGAAATCTCTGGTCTGTCCTCCATGAACTTTCATTAGACACTGTAACACCAAATTCACCAACTTATTGGCCCACCTCCAGACGCAAAACTCCCGACTTACTTGATTTCTTTATTACAAAAGGACTAAGAACCGTACCATTTTCCGTCAATACAAGCTCTGATCTTTGTTCTGATCACTC